TCCCGTTAGCTCGGCTTCTTGTCTGGTTTCTGTGCTTCTGCACTTCATCGTGAGCCTCTCAATACAGCTCATCTACTTCACGACAACCCAGCCAGACGACTGCCAGGCTCTTCTGAAGTCACCTCGATATGACCTGATCAACAATAGCTTTGCCTTCCAACCGGCCTACGCTAGCTACTCGGCTTGCTGGAAACAACTGATTTTAACCCCACGTCTGCCGGCGCCGCTCCGAACCATTCGACGACCCTAGATCCCTTTTCACAATCATCGACCCGATCTTTTAGATGATGTCGATGTCTGTATACGAATCAATGAACGGAATTCCCCCTCCCGGAATTCATCCTGTGGCCATGTCACGTCCTCAAGTCGGTATCGAACGCCTACCGACCCGGCGACTAAGCAATGAGCCTCGGGAGTCTATGAACTGCAAGTCATGCCGCAAGCGCAAGGTGAGACAGCATGACGACCTGTCAACCTCGCCAAGGGCAGGGTCTTTCACGAAATTGTAGGAGCCGTTGTCTGACTTAATATAACCATTAGATCAAGTGTAATCGGCTACGCCCATCCTGTGAGGCCTGTCAAGTGTTCCAGTGCCCTTGCGTATATGGTGAGCCAACCTTTGATATGCTTAGAGACAAAAAGATGAAACCAGGGAAGGTTTTGGTTGGCTGACGTGTTATACGCTTGCTTTCAGATGCCGTGCCCAAAAAGCGTGGGCCAAAGACAGACGTATTGGAAGCACTGTTGAAGAGGGTCGATGGGTTGGAGGCGAAATTGAAAGAGAAGAACGCTGGAGAGCAGACCCCGACCACGCCGACTACCGCAGGAATCAAGGACGAAGAAACCTCACGAGCAGACGACATTCCCGACGATGACCCAAACCCCAAGCGTATAGCATTGGACACGAAAATCGACGCCGACGAGTCTGCTGTTTACTCGCCAGCTCCGGCAAGGTAGGTCGTGGTGCTTGAGCAGAATCCCAGCTGGACGGATGGACTGACTTTGCCAGTGAGCCTTCACCACCCACCGTCCAAACCGACGCGTTGCTAGACACCTACTTCTCGCGGTTTCACTCCAAGCCCTACCACATTTTAGACGAGTCATCTGTCCGGCAACGGCTTCAACTAAACCAATTACCGAACTACTTGGTTCACGGCATTTATGCCGTTGCTGCAAGGTAAGGATGAGCGTCAACAAATCGTTGAAACCGCTGACCAGATTGGTAGATACACACCGCATCCTAGTGGCTACCAGTCAGCTGTACATCTGAGTGAAGACTTCGCTTCACGTGCAAGAGCTGAAATTGACACCGATGAGCCTTCCGTCGACGCCTTGCAGGCTCTGCTTCTGCTGGTCATTGCCTTCACTGCAGCAGGGAAAGGCAAGAAGGCGTATATGCTGATGAGTAGGTCACGGGGATTAGGAGCCATATAAGAGAGTGAGGTGCTAACATGTTGCGCAGCAAATGCAGTTGGAATGGCAATGGCTCTCGAAACTCATCGCGAGATGGACAACAATGCACGTGTAACGCCAGTCGAGCGAGAAATGAGGAGGAGACTTTTCTGGACATGTTACTTGCTCGACCGTTTCCTGGCATGCGGCTCTAAGCGCCCATCTCTCATCGGCGACAAGACTATCCTTCTCCGGCTTCCGTGTTGGTCACCGAACCCTTCAGTACCACCAATCGACGGCGAGTTCTTTCAGTCTGGGTCTAATCTGCAGTTCCTTCAGGGAAGCGGGAAGAAATCTCAAGGTAGCACGGGAATGCTCATCGACATCAGCCGGATCCTCGGTATAACAAATCGCTACCTAGCTGCTGGAGGTGTGAAGGGCGACTCGCACTTCCCGTGGCACTCGCTCTCAAATCTGTCTAAGATCCGTCAAGATTTGGACATATGGGCTTCCGGCACCGAGGACGTTTTCTCAAGTCTCGACACGTTATTCGGCCAGCCCGATTCGACGATTTTAGTCCTAAGCAAACTCATCTACCACCTGATTCACTGCCTCATTTACCGACCGTTTCTACCCATCGACCTGGCCGAGCTCGCTGGAACCGGTCAGCACCAATCTTGGCAGATTGAAGCAACAAACATGTGCTTCTTGCACGCGAACGCCATTTCTGAGCTTGTCGAACTCGGAAAGCAGACCGGCACGATCGAATGGCCGGCTTTCGTTGGCTATTGCATTTGCACCGCTGGCACAGTCCATATTCATGGTGCCCACTACAACAAGAATGGCAATGGTGACTCGACTGTGTTCAGCATGTCAGCGGACTTTCTGTCCAGAGAAATGCAGCAGCTAAGCGAGCTTCGGTACGCTTGGGCAAGTGTCCAACACCAGAGAGAAACACTGCAAGGAATCTACAATGCTCATTCTGAACTGGTCAAAAGCCTTGCAAACAATCCTATGCGATATTCCCCGGCATTCCACCTCGAGGATTTCTTCGATCGCTACTCAAACATTGGCGGGCCCGGCGGCCAGACCTTCAACTTTGACGCGGCAAATTTGAGCCTTTCTGATGTGATTGTCGACTTCACCACAGACACCTATACAGGCCACGATCTTTACGCGCCTCGTGCTAACAGCATGAACGAACCTGAGCGGCCGAGCCTCAAGCGTAAGAACACAGCTCCATCTGGCCGGAAGCGTCCAGATGCCAAAGTCCTCTCACCGCTCAGCACGAGTCACATAGTGCGTCCGCATGGCCTGCCAACGCCTTCTCATGTTCGTCACTCCTTTTCACACCCAACCCCGACTATGGCATCTCATCCGTCACCGGGAATGCTGGCGACGCCCACATCCCTGCCTCCTCATCCCGAGACGATGGAGCACCCTTCAATGTCTGCCTCACACGGACAATACGACGAAGCTGCGGCCAACAACGCAGCTGTGGCAGCGGCAGCGGCGGCAGGCTTTTCACTCGGACCTCAGAGTCATCAGCAAGCCAACATGCCGGCGCTCTCTTCAAATTCCTTCTCTCCGCAGTTCAGCTTTGCTACACCGGGTGCAAGTGGGAATAATGAGGTAGGGGGCAACTACAATGACCCCATGTTTGGCGGGCTGCCTACGAATGCTTTTGGTAGTCCAGCCGCGTGGCATGGGGACGAAGGTGGAAACAAGGTAGCCGGTGTCGCCGCGCCCAGTCCTGGAAACAAGAGCAACAACGGAAGCACTGGCACCGGCCCAGGTGAGGAGAAGGACCCATTCTTAAGCCTCCTGGAGCAACTCGCAGAGAATGAGCACCAATTCGCTCGAGGCCCAGGTAGCGAGCTTGACTTCTTTTTCGGTGGTACTGGAGCGTCGCAGTAGGATTTTGTACGATTCAGTGGTTTCATACGGTTCCGGCCGCTCAGTCAACGCCGCAGTCATTCGTCCCGCACTATGATACCTCCTTATTGGAACGCGATTTTCTTTTGGATGTTGGGATCAACACCTAGGGGTAGCGGTCATCATTTAGAGATTTGGAAACGAAAAAACAAAAGGTTCATGAGGACGGAAACGATACTTCTGGGGGAGCTCTTGATGAAGGAATGATCTAGCATGCGTGGGAGTTTTGGGTCAACTGTCTACTCGGGGACGTGTAAGATGAATAATAAGCACGCAGAGACCATGCCTTCTTGGCTCAGGGCTTCTTCACCGGGAAGAGAGTCTTTGTGGTTTCAAAGAGCAGGAGGAGGTCACTATTCTTGGTCGCTGAGTGGCGTGTCTCGATACGGGGGCAACTCATGTGGCCCTGTTGTGGCCCGCTTAGGTCTGGTGTTTTGCGCTTTCGAGAGCTCGAGACTCGTCCAAGTATACGCTTATCAGAGCATGTCACAAACAATTCAAATAAATTCACAAAAAATATCACAATTCCTTTTCAGACTCTCCACCACTTGACATGATTGCAACATCAATACCCTGTACGACGGTGAGAGAAGAGAATCGAATGCCGGCATGGCGCTGTTCTATGCCGTTCAAACGCATCGGTCTGTTCCGATCAGATCCCTGGTTTATGGTACCACGGTTTCTGCGCGTATGGCACTATTCCCCGAGATATCTTTTCTACGGCATATACGTTGCCAAGGCCATGGATGTTGGTTCACGCGTGGAGATGAACATTGGCAAGGGACTCTGTGTAACTAGCCCCAAGAAGCCAGGCTATCTTAGATGTTGCTTCCTGTGTAGCGAATAAGTGCCAAGGTGAAGCAACACCTAGCATGCCTGTCTGTAGATATACGCTATGGAGTACTAGAAACCCGGTGAATGTAGCTACCTAGTCCGGGGAAGGGGGGGATCAATTTTGGTTGAACCTCGGCGGGACGGGCTTGCGAATACCGAGGTGCGTCTCTAGACCCCCCGTCCCCCAGCAAATGTGGCGCATTGCGGGGGAGAAACGAAGAGGATTGAGGGGAAAAGAGGGGAAAAGAGGGATTGGTCTCGTGCCAGTACTTCTGTGTAACGGGTAAAACCTGCGATACCTAATCGATGCTAACAACGCTTTGTGTGAAAAAGCCACAGCCAAGCCCTGCCCTGCCTCGGTATTTGGCAGACGGGTCGGAACGTGTTTGTGAGAAAGTAAGGATGATGGCACATGAGTTGGGTGCTTTCTTTGCAGATCAAGGTTTCTTCTTCTTCTTCTTCTTCTTTTTCCTTTTCCAACCCCCCCCCCATATGTTGATGAAGGAGAGGGTGTGTAGGGACGGTGCATGCGGCTCCGTGGTTACATGGCTCCTCGATTGAGTTGGATGGGGGGAGGGAGGGAGGGGCAAATTAGCACGGCGAATGGGACATACATTGGGACGTTCTGTTGTTGTTCTTGGGGTTTGTCTCTTTTTGTCACGGAGCACCGGGCCGTCGCATCTTAGGCCCTTAAGTAGAAGGAAGGGAAGAAGCGACTGCGGCAGCAGCGGCGGTGACGAGAGCGGAGAAGGGAAGGGGGGGATATAGCACGGCTTTTCTTATGGATGTTATGGGTTTGGTAATGAGGTGGTATTGAGGTTGGGGTGAAGGGCCATCCGGACGTGACCGGGAGTGCGGGTACTCCGTACCTACATTCGAAAACGAGGTGGGGTCGGCGGCGGCCAGTCTGGGGTGGTCTGGGGTTACTCTCAGGCGAGGTCAGCAAGTGAGTGCTGTACGGATTCCGTGTACCACAGACGAGGTAGTATTCGCACTAAAGCGAGAACGAAGAGACAGTATCCGTACGGATAGTAATAGAGAGGAAAAGGTGGGGGAATGGAAGAAGCAATGGCTCCAAGACGGCTTTGTTCTCTGTTGGGTTTAGCGCTTGTGACTGGGGGTGTTTGTTCAGCTGAGAGGCGGGGGCACTTAAAGAATGGTTTGATATGATGATCGTCTTATAGAAGGATCAATAGGAAGAGGGATTAAGGTCTCAGGTGTGTTGGTTGGCGAGACCAGTGTTCTTGGGCGAATGGACGGGTGGAAAAGGAACCGGCGGACGGCTGGTGGCCGTCTTCTAGTTGATGTTGGTTTTCCGTGGGTTGAGTAACTTTCGGAGGTCGAACGGGGGAGTATCACCCACAAGATCGGCGGCGCGCGACGTGCATGATACTTAAGTAAGGGGTGCCTGTTATTGAGGAGGGTTTGATGATGTGGTATTTGGGACGTTGGTTCGGAGGTTGTCCATCCTTTGGAATGTCTGGGGCTGAAGGTTGTACGACGTGATGCTACATCGTGGGGTTTGCGGGGGGACAGATTGGTCTGGAGGGGGGCAATATATGGGCTTGGGAGAGTTTGATTGGGAGCAAAGGCGGCGACGAGGTGTCTATCGTGGTTTGATGACGCTGGTTGGTCGCGAGTAAACCGTTTGGTGTGACAGATGCTGTGGCTGGTGACCATACCTAGAACGTTCTCGGCCCTGGTTTTATGATATTGGTAGATTATCTGAGACTTGACAGCTTTGTGAGTTGAATGTATTTATGAAAGACTGCTTGAACATTATGCCGCTGATAGGCGACAGTTGTCATAGCTGTCGTATCTCAGGCAAGAGACACGAGGATTCATGGCCAATAGTCATCCCTTAATTCGATCCTAGAAGAGAGAACCGAGACTATGATTGAGATTCAAGAGACATGGTTGCTCGGGAGAAAATGAGTTTCTCGTCTAGGTCTCTGAACTGTATAAGCTCCCAACATTTCCCATTGTCAAAGGCTACGTACGGGTGATTAGTTGATGGTGGCGTAAGGGAATATACACATGAGTCTCCCATAACACGATTCAATGAATTTAGCCTTGCCGCAAAGTTGCGCTGCTCTTTTTTCAAGCAGCTTCAAATTCTGCTTGTTCGGTAAAAACCCTGCTCTGACCACGCCAACTTGGGCATGCGCTTGGTTTCGGTCTCACGACTTTGAAGACTCTTTACAAGAGACTAGAGGCTTCATTATATCAGAGTAGTGCACTTTCGTCAGTGTATAAAACATGTAGCTTAGAAAGGTTGAGGGGCACCCCCTCAAATATTAAGGTCAATAGATGGTCGTTAAGGCACACCGCGGTATTCCGCAGTTCGATTCGTAAGGCATGAGGATATCATTCCGCTACTTCCCATCAGGTCGTGTTTATTATTCTGAAACCTCAACATTCATATATGTAACCATGCGCTTCTTAGCTTGGCATTAACAAATTCGGTGGCAGAAGAAGTAGAGAATCACTCATGAGCAGAACAGCATCGGCTATGGATCTTATCGTATCTCAGCAAAAGCGAGACGGCCAGTCAAGCCACTTCCATACTTCTTGCTGATACGGCATCGAATATTTCAGCAAGTGCTTCGGAAAGCAACCAAGTCGGATGGGTTCCGGAACAAAGATGTACCTTGAGCTTCGCCTCGCCCTCAAGCAGCGTATATCTCCATGGAAGTAAAGCCGACGAGGTTGGACGCAGCCTTTCAGTCAGAGTATGGCTCAACTGTACCTTTCAGGATAGAAGAAGACTAGGCAAGGTTTCTGAACATTGACTGTAAAAATGGTAGTTCGACCGGCGTGAGCTTTGTCAACAGGCTTCGTGTCTGGCTTAGCTAGATGGATCAAGAGAGACAGAGATACTTGACCCTGAATCCTTCGACCTCTTTCCCACCATTTCCAGATGCTTCATCGCATTTCATAGATGTCCACTCAGCTCATCCATCACCATACAAGTCATCAGGGAGCAGTCCTATAGAGAGTCTGTACCGTGGCAAAGATTATCCACTGCTTCTACACTCACTGTTGAATTCGTCGCGTGGCTACATCTAACTTGCCTCCACGGCCAAGAGGCTACCACAGTAAACCTAACCATCGAGAGACGGTAATATCGCAAGCTTCTCCGCAACTGATTCATGTCAATGTAGGTACTTACGAAGGATAACTCCCAGAAGATCCCGTAATTTCCACCTCCAGTCCAGGTACCAGCTTCATCTCTTCAGACAGAAAATTTCCGTCTTGGCATCGATGCGAAGGATCCGATCAACCCGTTCTGGAGTACATGAGGGGCGGGCAGTTGCGTCCAGTTGACGGATCTATCTAAGTGGCCAGCCGCAAAATCTCCTCTAGCGTCCGTTGGGCAGACTCAATAACTAACTTTGATGTCAAAGTCTGCTCCTTGTCTCCATGGGAAAGAAAATATGAGTATTGAACAATGAGCACGGCGATTATGGCACGGTCTCAAACACAACTGGTGACTACAGCAAATTAGTAACTAGCCAGGAAGGCTCGTATAGTGCGTGCCTTTTACTATATAGGAATAAGGAATGCAAGATGAGCCAGACCATTCCCCAGGTGCTTCGTGGTAGGGGATTCCCGTGGTCAATATGGTCAACATCACCTACCTGCTTACTTACCTTCACATACCTAATGGCGGAAGGATTCCTCTTTGTAGCGATACTTGTCATTGCTTGCGCGATGGAATAATGAAAGAGCAAGTACCCTGCGACTAAGACATCGACCGGGTTGAAGTGGCATCACACGACGTCCCCTTCACCTAGCTCTAGCCAACTAGAATCATTGGCCCGGCTCTGAGTTAACGACGATGAACAGCAAGCGCCCATAAGGCTACAATCATCACGATGTGAAACCCTCTTTGGCGGCAAAATACGTACCCAAGTAAGGTATATATGTGTGAATTGGAGAACTTTCCAACGAGGCTAGACTGTCAATGCGGCTCTCGACTCGACTTGCACTGGTTATGGGTGACCGATGCCCCTTCTCGCCTTCTTGACATGACAAGAATGGGACCATTCAAGATGCAGTGACCAAGAACGCCGAGCCACTTCACACTAGGAAGAAAATTCACGCGGCACCGGGGATCAATGAAGGAGAAGCCATCACCTTTGACCAAGTTCGGTACGCATAAGGACTGTCAGCAGTCCCTTGTCCCCCTGAGGCAGGCACGGCAGATATGAGTTGATATCACTCTACTAGAGTCAGAAAGACGATGAAAGCTAAAATGACTGCCGTGATCAACATGCAGAACTTTATCACCCAAGAGATATGTCTACTTCGCCGTTTTCACCCCCAAAAACACAAGTCACCTCATCTTTTCGGTGTCGTTGATGGCAAAGCTTTGGGAGGAATGATACGATGACCAGTACATTGATATCCGCGCGAGAGGTCTCTGGCAGGTAGCAGTGCAATAGTTTGCGTGCCGAAAGCCTCTTGGCCGACTACAAGACTAAAGGAAGAAGCATTTCAAAAAGAAAAAAAAACCCCCCGGTTCAAAGTACACCCGGCACCCAGCTACGCAACCACTGTACTTCGAGTCTCAATAGAGAGGTCTCAACGTACCCGAATCCCTTATCGATTTTCCAGTGAAACGAAAGAAAGGTCCAATGCAAGTGTTGCGAAAACAGAAATTTCGAAAGGCCACCAGTAAACAGGTAAGACGAAAACGAGGGAGTGTTAGGCTCCAACCAAGCCAAGTACTTCCCAGCACCACAGCCTGCACCTTCGGGGTAAGGCAGATAACGAGATGCAAATCTCAGACGACACGTTCTTATGACTAGAGGGAAGTCGTTTGAAAGAAACGGCCCGACAAGAAATAAAGAGACTTGCAGTCCTTTCCCTAGGGTACCCACTTACATCATCCTCAGTATAGGTATCTACCAAGCACCAAGAGAAATCAAGCTCAGATATCAAAAGCCCAGCCGTTTCCTTAGCCGTTGTGGATTACGAACCTAGTCTTGCGGTTAGTAGTCTTGCAAGAATACACACATGTACTCTTGGTTCACGCAACCCTTTCGCCGTCTCGCACTCCTCGACGCGAGGGAAACAAAGTCTCAACTCAACTAGATGCGGCAAGACTTTCCTATAGCAGAAAAGTTATTCGCCGGCAACCCGGAAGGCAAATAACCAGACTGCCCAGTAACTCGTAAACTCGGGCAATACAAGCTTCTGGTCATAGGCCAGTCCAAGAAGTAGTAGGCAATGCTGCCACAAGCTATCAGGTCGATTTTCCTTACCGTAGGGCTGAAGCTGACTGAATCCCGCCTCTCCCTCCAAAATAGTCTTCTCCGTCACACATAACACACGTGCGAGCGAAACACGAGAGGCAGAGACCAAAACATCGAGGCCGACTCGAAGATTCAAGTTGTTTGGCAACTCGGGTTGCCTATTGAGTGGCTTGAAAGTTGCGGGTTGGCTCCCGAAACTTTGTTTGGTTGACTAAGGTAGGGATGAATAGCCGCTATCACGAGTCAGATGAAGTCGACCGGTTACAGTAGCGAGGCTCAATACTTGATGGCAGTAAAGCATGTGGCAGGGTTAGTCCGAGAGCATATGGGCTGGACCCGTGATTGTGACGAACCCGTCATTACGATACCCATGAAGTACTCCGCTATATACGTAAGACGCGATTACCTTTACTGGATATGATAGCTTATTTCAATGTGGATATAAAAGGCGTTAATCGTAATGTGCCATGTTACCATGCGAAAGTACGTAACCTTGTTTGCCTGCACTGCATCCGTCAATGTCGGGTTGTTTCTGCCAAATCAAAGAAAGATCGACGTTTGGCACTGAGAAGAAACGTGATTACATGGAGGCTCCTGGGAAACCTTACCGCATGGTAGACCGAATAAGTCCTACATGCTGTTTTTGGTGCTATGGCAGGCCGAGGCAGCGCAGGGGTTGAACTGCTCAAAAGTTTCAGACAGTATCGTAGGTTGTGGGATGCAACTGCTGTAGAAACGTGCGCGTAGCATGTATTGTGTGGGTATGCCTGCAATGGTCGAGAACTCAACCGCCCTGTCAAAGGCTCTCTTCATCGCATTAGGAAGTATGTTCGCCCTGCTCTAATCTGGCTAGTAGCAGCGAGACGGACATTGACCGTGAGTTCGTGTGGCACAGACATCGAGCAGGTTGCCTGCCGGCGGTAGTGAGCGCACCGATTACGTTTGCTCCATCGACAGCTGCCAATTTTTCTTGGCATCGGAAGTCTTTGGAGGGGTCAAACTCGTACGAGGTTGGGTGCTTCCACGGAGACTGACTCGTAGAGCCAGTAGAAAATGCTTGGCCTTAACATCAATCCAGTTTGTTGCAGTAACGGCGGTACCAAGATGCACCGCAGCCGGTGGACAGCAATATACCACAAAAAAAAGTTGGCCGTCCTAAAAGTCCCTCACAGTCCCAGTTCGAGTTTCCTCAAGGTCATCATCTTGAAACTTTTGGGTTGCAGTTGGTGGAAACTACGTGGTGGGCTAAAGTTGACGATCCGATATCTGGTGCGGGCCGTGGTCACAGTTTGCACCAGGAAGTTATCGCTGATTACTTGCTGAGGCTCGACTTCTCAAGTCCCCAAGACTGCTGCTGGCCTAGGGTAGGTTGATTGGGTGGACATTCTGCCGCGGAGTCCAGGATCGGGGGTTGTGCTCGGACGTGGGATTGATACAACAAGATCGAAAGAAGGTTCTTTTGTAACGGTTCGGATGACGTTGTTTCCCCATGGTGCGGGCATAATGTTGACGAGGTTCAGTTTCGGAAGAGGGTGATCTCTTGACTCGAGCCGGGGGGTTGGTAGTAAAGTCGGTAGCATCCCAGTAGTAATTCGTTCACGAGCCGGGCAGACACACAGACTACTTCGGCCACATGGTTGAAGCTCTTGACTATGAGAGTGATAATGGCTGAGTATCCGTAAACGTGTCTGTAGAGAATGAATTGACTGCAACGTAAGGACCGTGAGACCGCAGCTAGGTCAGCCGAGGTATGGACAAGAGGCTCGCAAGGTCTTTGGGCGCTGTCTGTTCAATGGCACGGACGCCACCGTGAGCTTGTTGCAGAGGTAAAAGCGCCAGAAGAAAGGACGGGACGGGTTCATTGTCTGGTTTTGGTCAAACCGTGAACCGGAAACGGAAGGGTGGTGGCACTGTGGCCGTGGAGAGATGGGGATGTAGATGAACCGTTGCCGAAACTCGAGAGAGGTCGGCTACACCCATAGGCATTCGTACAATAGGATTGTTGCGATGGCGGCTGGGCACCTGGGGTGGTGCAAGATTCAAGAGGCAACGTCATGCGCCGCCGTTGAAGGCGCAGAACAAAGACGAGCGACGTCGGACACTCTCATTGGAAGAGCAAATACCGATCGTGGCTGATGGTGACATCGCATTCGATTGATTGCCTTGGCCGACGTGTACTGTGGTAGAGTGACGGGTTGTCGGTAACTTTATCGACACCACGTTCCTTGCCAGATGTACGTCAATTGAAACCTCAAGGGAGGGATGGAGCAATTGACGGTCCCGAAAGCGAGGAGGCAAATGGCGATACAAGGTCCGTCTCACAAACCGACCTACATAGTGAGGTTCCTTACCAATATTCGTGCGAATACACGTGAGGGACATACCCAACTTGATACGGCAGGAACACCTGGAGTGACGCCAAGTGCCTGCCCAGAATGTCTGTTCGTTCCTCCGCAGTTTCCAGAAAACCGTCACCACCACCAAGCGTCCCGTTCGTCTATCCTTCCGTCCCAAACTGAGGCCGTTCTTCGTTCCATTCCTTCCAGTTTCGTTTATTCCTCAGGTAGGTAGGTACCTTACCTAAGTACCTTAGGTAACCTCGGGAGACGCCATATTTTATTGTGCCAACTACATACTGTCCGTCCGAATTGACACAACTGTCATAAACGGGCGGTTGCAAATGCTCTCCGGTTTTTGCTCCCAAAAGTGTTGCTGGCACCTGCTCTTACGGGCATCTCTCGCCGTGCAAGCGACTGTTTCTTACTGGCCCGCGATTGCTCATATGCCGTGTCTGCGTCGCGCGCTGTCCTGCATTCTTGTGGCTCCTTGGCTCCTCCCACTCACTCCTCCAGGGCAGGCTTCAAGCTTCAGGCTTCACCTCCTCTTTTCAACCCCCTCCAATCGATCGACAAAGGGGTCCGTATTCGCTGCTTGGGTAAAGCAGATATTGCCAGGCCGCAGATCACGTAACAACCCGCTTTGGCAAGTTCAAGGCCCAACGAGGCCCGCCCGTCCTTCGGTCCATTTATCGCGCCATGCTGGGGGCTACATTCGACTTTCAGCTTGTCCACCGCACTTCGCAATCAGCCAAGCATCTGCCACGCCGCCCACTGCAGGCTACAGGCTACAGCACTGAGCAATGAGCGCGCATTGAACGCCTGGACAACAAGAGTCTTGGCACTCATCGGCTTTCGGGCATTGCTTCGGCGAAGGGTTTTTTTCTTCTTCTTGAATTTTCTCACTTCCTTTCGCAATGTCCCGTCCTCTGATGCCGCAAATAGAAACACGGAACGAAGTGACGTTTCTCCACTCTGCTAAGGGTATTATTCTCTTACCGGATACACGCCTATCTCCATAGTACACCATCCACACCTGCGTATTTTTTTTTTCCTGCCTCTCCGCGGAATACCTCGACATTGCACCACGATTTCGCCGAGGCAGATAGACAAGCCAGAGAGGCATCGGCTCCAAGGCAGGGAAGGGGATCTCGGATGAGGAGGAGGGGTCAAGCGTGGCAAAACCGTCGACTGATTTTAGGTTGGCGTTCCCAATGAGCCGGATCCTGCTTCCCAGGACTCGACGACAAGACTTCGGACTCGCACCCTCAATGGGCCAAAAGCGGGAGGCTTCCACTGCTTCGTACGGAGTCACGCAACAGAAGCCACTGAGGGGAAAGGGGGGGAAGCTGCGAGTCGTCAACGATTTTGTGGGCAGTCATCCTTAGTAATTCTCTCGAGTGGGTTGATCTGGTGGAGCGGATGACTGGCTTCTTTCGCTTTCGAGGTTGCCAAATCCCAAGGCCTCCCTCCCTTCCCTCTCGGCTCCGGGAACGCTCACCTTGCCTGACGGATGGGGTATTGGGTAAAGTACTTTGCTACAGACAGATATTGGATTGCTTGAACAAGTTACGGTCCAAAGTTTCTTACGAATAAGGTACACTACAAATCCGCCTTTCCCCGAGCCACCTGCCGCCCAATGCTTTCCTCTCTCATACCTACTCTCTTGCCCTTTTCTTCTTCTCCCCTCTCGCAGCGCCCCTGCAACCTCCTGCACCCTTGCAGATGGATCATGGAGGAGAGCGATGGAGGAGGCTAAGAAGCTTTTACTCGTCTCACAGTCTCATGCTGGGTGTGCCTGGGTCCGGGTGGGAGGAGTCCCATTGAATCTTCGTCCAACTTGGCCCGAAAAGGTCCAGAATCCGGGGTAAACCCGCCATCACCAGATGGCTGATTGGCTTGCAGGGCGCCGAGGATCGACGTTTCTATGTCATCGCCCACCGCCCATTATTACGCCAGTCCGTACCGAGTGTCTAGGGTACGGAGTTGTATCTACGCTACTGCAAGCCCGCCGCATTCCATTCTTTTTTGCCAAGTACTCCATACGCCGTGGGTACTTTCAACTCGCAACACCAAGCACCCAGTTGCCAAGTATCGCCCGAGGTCTGCTTACCTGGCACTCACAATCTCTCTCACTGGACTGGCGCGAACTCAACGCTTCTTCCGTCTCTCCTCCTCTTCTGCCTCCCGTCCTCGCACAAGGTTTGCAGAGAGAGAGAAAGAGGAAAGACTGAGTCTGACAGGAGTTCCAAACTTCCAACACGCCGATGCGCACCGCCGAACCTGCGGAAGCTCCACCGCCGCACCACACCGTTTGATTTTCCCGCCTCTTTCAACTTCTTTCGTCCACCGACCCGACCCGACACGCACATTATTGCCTTTTGCCTATCAAACCATACCTTTTAGTACGCACCACACAACGGGTAGTTTTGAACCTAATTCAATCACTCCGTCCAGACGATTAGAACTTACGGATAGCCTGTCACCACCACCACCACCACCACCCGTCCTCCACGTCTTATCATCCAAGGTATCCCATATCGCTTCAGTCAACCAAGTCAGTCGACCAGTGACCATTGCCAGTCACCGCCACGGTGGATTCCCGCGGTACGGAGTACGGAGCACTGGAGACTCAAAAGGGCCCACGGCCAATCTCGCTCTGCCACTCCCACGAGCTCAGCCCGCCACGACCGCCCTGCCTCTGGTCCCCATCAATCCGCATCGTCATCCACTTAGATGCTCCATTGCCCCAAGGGACTCCATAGTACCTACCGAAGTATCTTTTCGCCAAAGCTACGACTCTCCATCGCGGCTCGCCTTTGTCCTCGATCGGAAAACTCTGCAACGGCTGCCATAGGCGGTGGGAACGCAACCGCGACAACTGAAAGAGGAGCACGAGTCCACCAGCCCACGCGACGGCCCCGTCAACGCAAACCATCCACAAGTTACTGTCCAACCAGCCGTTACCGAACCGACACCACAGTGACCACACCTTAGACAAGCATTAGCCTGCAGAGGAGGCGCCCAGCATCACTTACGGTTTACCTCGCCTCCAACGGAGCTGTCTGTCATTCTTTGCTACAACTATCCCATCCCGCATTTTCAACTTTTCTACCTGGGCTATCTTTTCCTCTCCTTCATCCTCCCGTCCAACATTCAGAGCTTCTCCCGCTGGCCCTGTCTGTGTCCCTCGCTTACGGCCAGCACCCACGTTACCTTTGCCCTTGCCGGCCGTCTTCGCCTACCTACACTGCCGCTAACCTCGCCAGCGGCTTGTATGACGCTGCGCCATCCGTGCCTGCCGATTACGCGCCGCGGCTTTGTCGGACATCACACACCACTCGAACTGCCGGTTACGAATATATTCGCGCAAGCTTGCAGCCAGAAGGATTGGACGACTGCTACCCGACGCTCAAACTACTCACGACTTCCCTACTCCAGCCTTTTGCGTCCCGCCCGATTCATTAGGACTAACACTCAGCACTGACGAATTCACCCGACCCCGAATTTTTCTCCAAAAACGCCTCGAATCCGCCAAAGTACAGCTTTCAGGGCCCCTCCGCTTTTTTCTGATCTCAACCCGCGAGTAGTAGCACCACCGCCGACCCTATCCATCCGAGGTTTTCGATATCGAGCGAAATTGCGCGCCAACAACAACCCATTCGACTGCGTCCATGTGTCAGAGCCCAAAGTCATGGCATGGTTGTCATCGGTGTCTAGTTAACCACCCTACACCTCTCGCCAAACCTCCGTGGTGGTGAATCTCCCTTGAGTTCCCCAGGTCGGTCGCCACTTCTCGCCGAGCATGTCATCTGCCGATGCGGCAGATGATAGCGTCCCGGATCGCGGTCCGGCAGTCTTTGCCGTGACAGCCGCAACGTTCGTCTTAGCGAGTGTCATGGTTGCTGCCCGTCTGTTCTGCCGGCGATGGATTGTCAGAAATGTTAGCTGGGACGACAAGATTATGTTCTTTGCCTGGATGATCGCCTTCGGATTATCCTTCACCATTTGCTTTGGTACACGAAAAGGCTTGGGTCGCTACGACGACGATATACCCTCGGGCCACTGGAATTCTTTGCGAGCGTGCGAATATGTTTTTTCAATACTCTATGTGAGTACCGCTGTCGCGCTGAGAGACACTGGCTCCGATGCATTACTTACACATTCGCAGAATCCCGCCCTGATGGCGACCAAAACCAGCATTTTGATCTTCTACCTCCGCCTCTCAAAAAACACGAAAAAGGTGCTTCGGTTTGCGTCCTGGGTGACTTTGGGCATCGTCAACCTAGCGGGCACTGTATTAACCCTCATCAACATCTTCCAATGTCGGCCGGTTCAGGCAGCATGGGAAATCTGGCGGGATACTTCACAATGCATCCCGCTGCTCACGGAATTCATCTGCTCTGCTCCTATCAACATCGTAACCGATCTTGCCATCCTAGCTTTACCGATTCCTGTTCTCACAGGTATGAGATTGCCACCGAGGCAAAAGATCATTCTCGTACTCACCTTCACTATCGGTATCTTCGTCACAATTGTGGACGTCGTCCGAATTTACTACCTACAACAAGCCGTCAGCTCGGTTCCGACCGGCGGCGTGTCTAGCGATCCGAGTTCTCACTTTGGTGGCACACCCGACTTTGCTTGGAACTCGTCCTTGTCGTTCATGTGGTCAGCCGTCGAGGTCAACGTGGGAATGGCTTGCGCGTGTATTCCTACTTTGAAGCCACTGATCATCAAAATTCTGCCTGCCATGATCATCGATCCGGACGGAACAAGATCGAGCACACAGACCGAAAAGGACGCTCTAGACAGCCCTAGAAATCGCAACGGGAGCGACGGCCTGGTATCACCAACAAGTCCGAACTACCGTGGTTCAGTCAACATTCAAGAGCCCTTGGCAACACATCGTGCCAGCCGAGATATGGGCGCAGCGGCAAACGCAGATGGAAGCGACATGACAGCACTCGAGTTCTTGACAACACCAGACATGACATTAGCCGATTACGAGGCCACCGGGAGGATCGGTGGCATTGCCAACAGAGCCTCTATCGCAACAAGCAGAGAAAACACCATTTACTTTGGCTTCGTCAACATGAAGCGCCCCAAGAGCATGGTCAAGTGTGACGCTCAAGAATCACTCCGATACTGCCTGGTGGTTACAATCCTATTTGTAATGTGGGGTATTTCCTACGGTCTGCTCAACACTCTCAACAATGTCATTTCCGGGGTGTCAGGAATGACCGTTGCTCAGACTCTAGGCCTCACAACAGCCTACTTTGGGGGCGGTTACTTCTTTGGCCCTTTGCTGGTGGGGGAGTGGATTCTGAGGCGGGATGAGCATCATCGAAGAAACCGCAAGAACAAACGCGATGCGGAAAGTGTTGGTGGCTTCAAGGTCACTTTCATCGTTGGGCTTTGCTTCTACGGCGTCGGAACCATCATTTTTTGGCCATCAGCTGTCACCAAGTCCTGGGGCGGTTTCCTACTCAGCAACTTCGTGGTAGGCTTTGGCTTGTCTGTCCTCGAGACAGGAGCCAATGCTTTCTTGATTCTCTGCGGACCGCCAGAATACGGAGAAACACGACTGCTTCTCGCCCAAGGCGTCCAGGGTGTAGGCTCCGTCCTGAGCGGCCTAATGGCCCAGAGAGTCTTCTTCACCAAGATCACCAATCAGGGTGGATCAGACTCTGTGACGCTTCTGAACGTACAATGGACATATCTCGCCATCACACTGCTTTGCGTCGCCCTCGGCCTCTTCTTCTACTACATGCCGCTCCCCGAGTTGAACGACAACGAATTGCAAGAATCAGCAGACCGGCTTCCAGTCAATCCCCAAAAGCGCAGCATTGGCGGTTTGCAGCTGCGCACGTGGAGTTTGATACTGGCCGTCCTCGGCCAGTGGACGTATGTCGCCTGCCAAGAAAGCAACAATATTTTCTTCCGCGCGCTCACAATAGCCATCCTTCCCAACCAGGAGGATGGCGGTATCGCTGCTACGAATGCCGATACAAACCCAGGCGAAAACAGTGACAAGCCTCCAGGCCTTACAATAGGTGTCACTGATTATCATCTTATTGCGCACAGTGTCTTCGCCATTTCGCGATTCATTGTTGCTTACCTGACTTACCTCTCGGTGCGCAACCCGCGCATGCCGAAACCGAGAACGTGGCTGGCCATCAGCGTTGGTCTCTCCATCTTCTTCGCCCTCCTCACTGTTGTCTTGCAGCCATCAGACCCCAACCTCCTGATGATTGTCGTCATTCTCTTCTACTTCGCCGAAGGACCTGTTTGGCCCTTGATCTTCGCCATCGGCCTCCGCGGTCAAGGCAGGCGTACTAAGCGTGCTGCTGCCTTCATCACCATGGGTGGCTCCGGCGCAGCATTCTTCCCATACATTGTCTACGCCGTCATCAACAGCGGCGTTTCGGTGCAGCTTTCGTTCGTCATCATCGTCGCCCTATTCGCTCTCACGGGCTTCTACCCCATCTGGCTTGCCTTTGTGCGCGACGCCAAGACCATGACCGACCCTGCCCACTCTTACATATCTCCCGAGGAACGTGTCTCCGGACAGGATGAGATCGATATCAACAGCCAGCTCAGGAGGCGCAGGCGAACGCTGTCTACCATTGCGGCCAAGAGCAAGCGAGGCAGCATTTTCAGCAAGATCTCCCCGTTTGGGCGGACCAACGGCGAGAGCGTTACGCCACCAGTAGTAGAGCATTCTGAAGAAAAGAATAGCTCCAGCAAAGGATCTGAGGGGAGCAACGATACCCATCAATCTCAGACGATATGAGCGAGCGATATGTTTTGATTATTTGTGCGACACCAGGCCTACGAGCCTTTTATATTAATTGCTATATACCCAATGATAATGATGTTCAATGAATAAAAGTTATGATTAACCATCAACACATTCAACTGTGTGAGCTTGCGTATCGCCATGTGAACGTCATGCCATCACGATGTGCTGTCCACGGCCGCACTTATTGTTTCTGCAGTCCAGTAGCTATCTTCTCAAAGACTTCTATCCCTTCTCTTCCCAACGCGGTCCCGACAGCAACAGCATACGCACCAACACTCTTCATCCGCCTGAACCCATCAGCATCCGCGACGCCACCGACACCTATGACCTTGATATGTAACAACTCTGGCTCCTGCCCGACCAACTCCGCAATAGTCCTGACGTTCCCCAGGGCCAGCGGATGCAACGGCGCCCCCGCCATGCCCCCGAGTCCAGACCCCGGAAGTCGGGGGTCGCCGCCGCCGCCGCCCTCGAGCAAGAGACATGAGCCGAGCGTGTTAACGGCGGTGATGAAGCTGATCTTGCAAGGCACTTTGAGCATGGCCTTGGCCGTGACGACGGTGGAGTCCTCGCATAGCGCGGCGATGAGCTCGGCGTAGTGCGCTAGGTGGGTGTACGGCGGTGTCTTGAGGCCGATGGGAATCACGGGGTTCCGGGGTAGGGCGGCGAGGTAGGCTTGTAGCTGGGCGCGGTCTGAGGCCGGGGGCGCGGCGGTGGCGATGTTGGGGCAGGAGAGGTTTATTTCCATTGCGAGCGGGTGGGTTGTCGTGTGGGAAAAGGAGGCTATGAGCGCGTAGGATTCTGCGATTTCCGAGGGGGAGCCTGTGACTGAGATGATGATGAGTTTGCGGTGGTGGCCGTCACCGTGGCCGTGGCCTCCTTTGATGGGGGTCTCTGGAAGTTGGGCGATGAAGTCTAGGTAGGTTTGGAGGGGTAGAGGGGAGTAGCCCAGGTTGTTTAGGGAGGCGACGTCCGCGGGGCCGAGTTGAGAGCGGGGGGCTTCGGGCGTGGAGGAGTTCGGGGCCGCGGAGGGTTTTGTGGTGGACGGGTCGAAGAAGGCGTATTGGTGGGTTGCGTCGTTGTGGGCGAAGCCTGCGAGGAGGGAGGTTCGTGTTGTGAGGGCGCCTGTGTGGGGGCAGGCGTGGAGGGCAAGGAGGTCGGTGAGGGTTGTGCACCATGGATTTGCTGAGTTTAGGAGCGGCGGGGAGATTTTGAGTTCTGGGGGAGGGGGAGATTGCATTTTGGAGGACGTCGTGATATACTTGTCGTGATCTGATGAGCTGAGGAGGTGTCTTGGGTGTGTGTGAAGGACTGAGGTGTGAGAGGGGGCTGAGGAGAGGTGTGAGTCTCTGATGTTGGTGAGATTGGGGAGGGTAATTGCTTAGGTGTGAGATTGGGGAGGATGATAAGATATACTTTATGGTGAGTGGTGCGAGTAAGTGAGGGACGTCGTGAGGATCAGATATCACGCCGCGGGGTGGTCGGGCGCGGGGCGGGGTTGTGATAAGATAAGATTTCCGGGCGAGTCCGAGGACGGGCGGGGTGTGGGTGGGGCGGGGCGGCCGGATCGTCCGACTTCAGTTGCTCGAACCCCGCTTGATGCCTTGAGGAGTCGTCAAAGATGTCATTGTCTCTATTTCCTTGAGGAGTCGTCAAAGATGTCATTGTCTCTATTTCGCGATGAAATTTAGGATGTGAATTATTACAATGACAAGTTCTTGCTCGGAACCTATTTGAGAATGAGGTAGAGGCATGTTCAGCGGCCCGGGATCAGAGAGCGATCCTAGATGAGAGAAGGGGGGGTGATGAGTTGATACAGGTTGTAGCTCAGAGAGCTTTGTATTTCACTGAAGGAATCAGGATAATACCACTGATTGTGAGGATCATCTATGGAACTACAAGATCAACTTGCATTTTGAGTAGTGATATAGACGAGGTTCGAAAAGCAGGAATACTGTACACTGAAGTCGTCAAATGGGTAAGTTCTTCATGTGCACAGTCGTTTAGTGCGTCACCTCTGTACATTAAAAATCATAAGGTAGTATAGTAAGTGGTCGAAGTCTATGGGCGACGGTGACTTATCGGTGTCATATTAACGGTTGAGACAGGAGGTGTTGGCGCGAAGCCATCCGCTTGGTCTACATGACCCTCTTTGCGTTCTACATGACGTAAGTAATATACCTACCGCCGTCGTACGGGATGAAGCAGAGCAGCTCTTCTCTTGGTCTTTAGTCTACGAGATATTTTTCCAGTCTCGAAATTCGTGCTGCTAGTATGTCGTGAAGGAAATACACCCTTTACTCAGCTTCGCGGTACCCTTGGGAAAGACAGTCTCTAAGCAGTGTCTGGGCCGTCTCGCGTACCTGTTTCGCTTGTTTCCATAGAATACCATCGAGACAACCTACTTGGAGATCTATTTGTAACGTATGTCGACGACATACCCTTTGCTTCTCGCGAACAACCTCGTCAAGGTGGTATGTCCGCCACCCCTTCGGCTTTACTGCCAAGATTAACAGCCATAGGGACGCCTCTTCTAACTGGAGCAGGTTCAGTCCGCCGAGTACCATAGCTTACATGTGAGTCTTTTCTTAGAACAGAGTCGTCAGGCAGGACTTTTCAGTGAATATAGTGCCCAGCACTCGCGTAGGAGATATTCCCCCTCGATGCCACGAAGTGTCTGACGGAAATTCAATTCATATAAGAGGCTGCGGACACTCCACAAATGACTTCTTTCTCTTCTTTTCGGCATAGTAGATGACGGCAAAGGCTTCCTACTCTTTCAAAGCAGATATGTTCCCTAGAACGTGACTTCGGAAAGTTTCACAGCGGTGTTTATTATTCTTCTCTGAAATACCCTGGCGATCAGATCTCTCAGTCCGATATGCTCTCCAGCTCAGGTCTTCCGCGGCCTTCGAGTATTCCGCTGTGATGGAATTATTGACAGAGACGACTATGCAGGAGAAGAAATGTAAGATTGGATGATTGATTGGTCTAAAGAAAGATGGAATAGTAAGCAAACACTCTTCGGCATCGACCTTTTCAGAACATGCTCAAGTACGTCAATCGATTGGACAACCATCATCTCAACTCGTGTGGTTTCCAAAGACGAGGATTTTGAGGATTTTGAACGCTACTTACAGTTTCAAAAGTAAGAACAGTAACCATCTTGCTCTCGTTGAGAACGGGTATTGAAGTGGCAACTTCCTCAAAAGTTCGCCGCCTATGCGGAAAGACCACGTTTGCGATAGTAAACGAGGCCATCAACCTGCCTAGCGAAGCGAAAAACCATACTATATCCTGATTATAGTCTAATCAATGGAGCAACAACTTCTCAGGACTAGTGTTTGTCAATAACTCGAAGTAATTCCCCATGGCAAGAAGATGAATATGGCTCTTCACAGTGCTCGAATGGACATGCTACAGGAGTTTTCCGCGAAAGACTTTGAGATGACAGCTATCCCTCAGCTACAAGTCATATAGAACACTGGCGAGCGCAGGCGGAAGCCAGGAAAGCCTCAGACCTCACTGCGGGCGCACTCGCTGTAATGATAATCGTGGACCGGGAAGTGATTTAGGCGCGGTTTATGGTATGGCTTTCGTCAATCTAACGATATAACCGAGATCCATTGAATTAATGAGCCTGCGGCACATCTGTCATTAGCCAGAGCTAACCGGTGAGCATGAGCTGGACTTGAAGACGTCGTAAATGTCGTTCGACTTTTTGCTCCAAATCAGATGAAGTGGCTGCTTTTGGGAGAACCATGATAATGTACCTTCGTAAACAGCGTAATCAAATGTATCTAGAAATGCACTCATGCTGTCAATTTCATGGCGAGAAAAGAGAGAACTTGGCCTAGAACCTATCATAATTCTTCTCATCAACTGCGCCAGAAACGTACTTGGCAACCTGAGAGCCAGGAACTTGGAGAAGATGAGAACAGTGTCATTGAGGTCTATAAGTGTATTCACACAGCGATAGTGACCTCCCTCAACCTCGTTCTCTCCTCACCGTCAAAGAACTCCGAAGGGATCGACCGCGCACATGCTCTTCCGTTTCCAAGGATCCTGATTCGGCAAAAGGCCTGATGGGAACCCGACGTTGGAATACCGACAGACATATCTCAAATTTTCTATACACAAGCGCTTGATTCGCGTCTTCCGTCCCTATCTGCTCCTGGTGTATTCCTACAGTAATACCACTCTCGAACAGGAGCGCGTTGTGGAGGGAAAATGAAAATCGCCGTGATCTTTATCGATCAGGTCGATCAGGCTGGTGGTTCGCCTGATCAATGCCTCTGGGAACACCCAGCTCACACTTGCTCTCAGTTGATCCCATCACATTGAAATTAATCATTCCCAGATAGCAGTAATCAGGGGTTGGGGTGAGGTCCTTGTCAACCTCCACACTACCTATTCCTGTCATTAAATACTGCGCACCGAGAGATCTCAGCCAACGATATCTAACAGAGGAAAAGACGCTCGAGAGGGCAGTCGTGACCACTCTTTCAATTTCCAAATTCGAGCCTCTACTATCATCATATGAAAACCGCATAATGTGAGCAAGGCTCCCGGGGCAGAGGGAAGGGAGGTGTGAGATCTGGGTATTTTGGACGTCGACTCTGTTGAAGCGGCGCCCGTCGATCTCGCCCTCATTCGGAACGATATGTAGTCTTCTCATCGTCATCACAGGCTAGCGGGCCGAGAGCTTTACAGCTTGAACCGCTCGAATTACGTCCTGTCCTCGCAGCATCGTTGGTCTACACTTGCCTCGGTGAGTACTGTACCACTGCTCTGCTCATGCCGTTCATGCAGCTTCGTCTCACTCTCATCCTGTGATACGTATGCCTCTCATGTTATGTGAATTTTGGCATCTGTGGAAACTGTTATGAATTTCTCACCAAACATCGCCTCACTAAAACCCGTTGTCACGCTGGTGTACCCAGTACCGGGCCCAATCAGTCGGGATCCCTCGGCCTCGATATGCCAAGTTTGACCATAGACACCGTTGGTTCCTAAGCTACTGGGCAGAACTCAGCAGAGCTCAAAGTAAGACAATAGCCTACGGCCGTCACCGGGAAATCGAGAATCATCTGCCATGGGGCGCATGACAATCTCACTCTCCACATAGCCTCGCCGGCAGTGTTCACGACCGCAGTAACCAGACAAAGCTCTAGCACACTCATCTAGCTTCCTCCTCACCAGCTGCTACAACACCTCCGAGGAGAGACTAGCCACCAGCCGAAGCATTGAGTTACTCCCCGGTGAGCTAACCACATCTTCATTCATGGGGAAGCAGGTACACCTAGGTGTACATAACCACTCCCGCGGCACTCGAGGATTTCCAATGATCCCCCATGCCTCCGCAAGAAGTAGAGCGGTTAGTAGTTCAAAGACGGACGACGGAGAAGTAAATCGGCCATGTCGAACAAAACTCTAATAAACAAGCTTACTCCAAGACATCGGGACCGGGCTAAAATCACACAACCAAACTACCAGTGTCGCCGGTCCGTTCCCAACAAGGTTCAAACGGGAGACCACCCGCTACGGAGGCCCAGCCCTCCGAAGGGGAGAGGAAGTAGGTACACATCCCCAAACGGCAGACACCAAGACAGCTCTTGGTTCCGGTAGTTGAGAGAGAGAGAGAGAAAGAGAGAGAGAGAGAGAAATCCAAGAAACCAAGACAAAGACGCCCCGACTACCTACAACCTAGATCATCTCACCAGCCCGCGACGAGCCAAAAGCTTGTCCGTCAGACTTTCTCCAAACTACCACTCACACACTCAAAGTCCAGGAAAAGTCCAGACCAGGCACAGCCACCCATTGGCGGGAACCATCGAGATAGAGTTACGTGCGTAAGAGAAGCGCAAGAGCCGAACGTCGCCTATATCCCGGCGGCATAGGAACAAAGAAGTTTGCATCCTCTTTTCGCGCGTGAGTAGAAAAAAAACCCCCCCCTCAAAAAAACCCAACATTCATCCTATTTTATTCTTCGGGTCATTATAGAGTGGAACTTTAATTTTCTCGCTGCTTCAGCCCGGAGCTATTCTTTTTGATCAAGCCACCCCGCGACTAACCATGGACCATGAACCTTGGCCGACGGGGGATTAAAACTAAAAAAGAAGGATAAGTAACCTTCAAACCCGTAACCACCCACACCCAGTAGTCTATTCGGTAGTCAGCAGTCCCCGAGCTTTCCTTCGTCCCAATAACTTAGACTTCGTTTGGTGACTATTTGGAAACTTTTGAGCATGGCCGGGGGCCAAGGTAGCTCGTCTTTGTGTAACCAGAGCCTTGAACCTACCGCAGTACCGGCGCCATAGCCGGGGGTGAGATTTCCCGCCGTCGGTGAACTGGCTAAAAGTAATGAGGATACCACACTATACGGACGAGAGTGAAGATGAACCAGCACACGCCCGATGAGGTCTTGCCTGACACAGGCAAGCGCCAGTCCAATGCTCTCCTGCGACAAGTGTCAATGCGGCGGTGAGGAAAATGGCATCGTGCAACGATCTTGCAGATCGGACAGCGGTGGTGGATCAGCCGACAGAAACACGACCGCCGTGCCTTTTGTCCTGTCCAGGCGCTTTACCTCACCGAAACCACTTTGGAAGAAGGCGCGCCGGGCTGGCATCTGATCCCAATGAGGATGGTGTGATATCATCGCTTCACTTTCACCATCCAGACCCAAGTTTCAAGCCTCGAGATATCCCGCGGCATCCCTATTGCTTGATTGTAACACGATAGCATTCGACCAGTATCGGGCCTTGGATAAGAGCACCTATGACGCAAGAGTTGTTCCTCGGCAATGAGGTAGAAGCTCCAGGTTGTGCTCGAGTCATGCCACGAAACGGAAACTGAACGGTCCTGGACGAATAAACGAATAGGGCCAGTGACAGAAGTATCCGTGTCGTCGCGAATAATCGCAAAAACGGCCTACGTATTGCGCTTACAGAGCTTCTGTAGGCAATTACAGTAGGTAGAAAGCAGGTATTGGGTTTGCTCACATCTCTTTCTCTACAAACTGACGCACTGCTTTACACTCTATGCACGAAGGTTGTACGAGTTGATCGGGTAGGTAGTTCTGGCCGGGATTTGTCGGTGTTTGAATTCGAGAGCGTACTCGTGTAATGACGTGCAATCAGGTAGCACGGAGAGTTAGTCGCCCGGTGGGGTTACTGGGGTGAAGACGCACCCGCGAAAGTTATTTCCGGAAGGCCCCTGACCGTCGGTGCCAGGGAGCCAGGGACTCTTGGTGATGAGACGTGGGGACGTCTGAATAGAGCAGCAAAACCTTCGCCAAAGTACTCCGTAGCATCCCAGCTTCGACACATCCGCGAGTGTCTAGGTATTCAGCTTCCACCCGACTGACCTGGTCTTAAGTTGTGCCGCCGGGCGGGTTGAGCATTGACCAGTGGGAACGATCCCCCACCCCGAACGGATTTGGTGATCTTGTCTGGGGACAGGCCCGCCAATGAGAAAGTGGACAAGGCTAGGTTAGAATGGAGACGGTGATCTTCGTCTCGAAGGCGATTACCATTTGGCGTGCTGCAGAGCTCAACCCATTGCATCGGTAGGTAAGGCCAGGAACAGAAGCGCCACCAAACGGTTGAGCCTTTGCCCCATCTCCCAAACATGAGTCGTGACTAGAAATATCACGCCTTTCAGTAGAAGCCTTCCTTCTTGGCCATCTTTGCTCTCAGGAGACAGGAGTCAAGCCAGGTTGCCTGTGTGATGATTCTTCTTTGCTTATGCTGCTGTGTAGGTGAGTGTGGATGGAATCGAGATATCGAGTCAAGTCATGTGGTGCGTAGCAATTGGATACTCAATGATCCGAAGAGGTGCGATATGTTCAAGGTTTTCTTAATCCCAGAAAACTGGGTTGACGTGGCCTGACAGTTTCGTTAACTGTATCCACGCGAATGTCTGAAGCTGTCCATTGGGTGGTGGTGCCTTGACCCCAAACGTGTTCCATTGGGCTGGGGAGTCGGGAGGCATCAACCTTCTTGCTAGGTGCTCGGCTGGATTGCATCATGGACTGAAATCCCTGCAAAAAGTCAAGGTATACGTGAGCGGTAACTTGAGACGAACAAGGCCATCCTAGGAGTGCTTGAGGTGGTAGGCTTTTGTGGCCTTAGCCTCGTGGTTATCGGGTTGGAAAGGGTCGGTGTAGGATCGCTCGATGTATCTGATGTTCAGTTTCTTCTTGTCCGAAGTGAGAGTTCATTACGACTTTGCGATGCGAGCTGTAGCCGTCGCACTCGAGAACAGTGATACCGTCCGAAGAAAGGCTGTTTGACTGAGCCGTGTAATTTGCTTGCTACCGGAGCATTGTGCAGCAACCCGGGGCCGCCTCATCTGAACAATGGCGTGTTTCTCGCATTTGGAGCGGCCAGTGTGGCGTCGAGAGCGTCCATGGCCACCTGGCAAGGGGAGCAACACAATTGTCAGACTGCACCCTCCAATAAGGTAGGTAGACTGATCAAATTTCAAAATCAAGACTGCAGGCAAGAAGCCAGGCGTAGGTTTGCAAACTGTGTCTTACAGTCTTGCAGATGGCTACCGCAACTCGCTTGCAGCCAAAAGTTGAGCAAGTGGTCTCAGAAGTTGCGAAGACGGGGGGAAGGACCGGATTCGTCGTATGGCTATCCGTAATTGTACGAGGTGAAGCGTGTCGCTCGGGAGGGCAGAGACAGATGACACATGGACGGGTATCGGCTGCAGGGTGCAAGACAAGTGGTTGTTCTAGCGATTCTCGAAGGCAGCTGTGCATCGTTGTGACATGAATAGCGGTCGAGCTAAGGCAAGTTGGTCTCAGAGTCCATGCGACCGTGCGGTCTTGCGCCCGGCTGGCCGCTTGGTCTCACATTCATCAGACGATGCTGGGATTTCCGACAGAGGGTTGAGACCGTATGCACGACACGGGCGAGCCGCAAGTGAGCGAAGCACACTGATTGCGTCGTGCTCGTGTGCTTGAGTCGGTATTTGTAGCCAAATGGAGGAAGAGTTGTTGAACATTAGAACAGAGTGTTCTTGAATCCACGCCGGCCGAGAGGCAAACGATGTTTGATGCGAATTCTCATGTCTTGTACAGATATGTAAGGTGGAGGTTGTGATGGTTGGTGATGATTGTGCAAGTAAGTTCAGGCAGGTCGATGTGTGTGCTGTATATTCGTACGACTATTTCGTAGTGTATGTAATAGGAGAGCCTCACTCACCCTTGAGGACGGCTGGGAGTGGACGTACCGAGCACAGTGTGTCGGGGTGATGAGTCGTGAAAGTACTTTGATCCACAGCCTTCATTCCGCTGATTTGCTGTATCGTCTCTGGTCCGTCTGTTTTGGGGTCCAGCTGGACTGGAGCCCCGGGAGCATGGATACTTGGGCACGGTGCAGGCGCTAGGGAGATGCCAGATGAGCCAATTAAAATATCCAGAGACGACCCATCTGATCAAGGTGGATACCTGTCGCTCTCCCTTGAATGCTGGCAAGCCTCAAGACCGCAACACTGGGCAGGCCGCAGGCGCGACGAGTGTGTCTCTTAAACTCCCCAAGAGTCGATGGAAGACTCTGCCTTAGCAAAAGAGACAACCGTTTGAAGCTAGATGCCTTCACACTTTCGTGTAGCCATTGGCAAGTCTGGCTTGATTCTTCGCATCACCTGCTGTGCTGCGGCTGCTGCTGCTGTACCCACCTGTTATAGGCCAGCGAAGTGGGAGTACCAAGTCATGAAAGGAGCGCCAGTATTCATGATTGATTCGGGTGGTCCATGGTAGATACGGATGGTGTATTCGTATGGGTGAATGCCCGTCTCGTAGTAGGAGTAGGTGGGCACGGCAAATGCAAAGTATCCGTACACGCTGTAATCTGTATTCGTAGATATCCCGTACGCTGCGAGGCGGAAGGGAAGTTTGCCCGCGCAATGGTTCGAGTCCCCACATTCCCGAAGATGAGGACGCGACACTACTTGTACAACCGTGATTTCACGTTACGGTCGACGGTTGTCCTTGGATCCCGACTCCCGACAAGCCTTTGGGAAAGGGGACAAGGACCTGGATGGGAGTGGAAACTTGAAAGAGATGTGGCCAGTGCGCCCAAGTGGGCTCGCTTAGCTGTGCGCCAGGGATCTGGGCCTTACCGCGGTATCCTTCCCTGTCCGCCCTTCTCGATCGGGTCTAGATCCGGGTACGTACCTGTTTCCTTCCGTTAAGGACGGCAACCAGGAAGGAGCCCAGGCGTTCCGTTCCCCTCGTAACTTCCATTCTCTAATTAGCTACCCCCATCTCCATCTCACAATGTACCGTCTTGGTGTAGATGAAAAAGCCTATGAGATATGGAGTTGCTTCCTTTCAAACTGTCCTCCATATTCGCGTCTGAGCGTTGCATGAAAAGGAAGCAGGCACGGCGGGCGGGTTCTATCCAAAGTCCGCCGTGGCGATCCTCAGGTTTTTAGTCATCAAGGGAAGGACCACAGGCAGGTCGGCGCTCGTTCCTTGGCCCGTCATCCAATCTCCCCCATAGCTGCCCTCGTGCGTTTTGACTCAGCCGTCAGACCCAGATCACTGGGTGTCGCCCCGTCGGTACTGCACCGTTTTCCCACGGTTTTGGGCCTTTTGACGCGCCTCCGACCCAGCATCTGCACGCTTTTCAATCCTTCGAGGCCCCCCCTCATTTTCTTTTTCCAAACCGCGTCCACGTTACCGGGTGCTTTGCACGAATACCAGCACCATTATATCTGTTTGGAAATCTATAGCCCCGCGACTCGCAAATTGCAAATCAAGTCTCCCAAGACTCAAGAGTAAACATTGACTTCCCGAGTCTCCTCTCTTCCTCTCGGTCCTAGAACCATCACCAGGAGTCCTCCGGTTTCAACTCCCGCACTATTCTGACCCACCCGGCCCGGATCTCACCGGTTGCTTGACTTTGATTGTATCCGTATTTCCCCCTTCGGACCACCAAGCAGGGACAGGCTTGGGGCCCAAACGCACACACCACATATCACACTACGAACCAGGAAACGGTCGCCGGTTAAGTCTCGACTTTTCATCCTCGCTGGTCCTCCAGGACGCTGGCTGTCCCTGCAGCAAGAGACATGGCCCGACGAGAACCCCCCCAAACCACGAATTAAGATCCCCATCTAGCTCCCTCGACCCCTAGAATCTCTTCGGTCGAATCCCTTCAACAAGTCTAGCTCTTGTCAACCTTCACCAGAGTTGACGCACTTTCGATTGCCTCGCCTCACTTTCAGGCCATTGGCATTGGCATTGGCATCCCTAGGTATCCGTCGTTCCAAACATCTTGAGGACTACATCTCTTGTCTTGCCGATCTTGACACTGCTTCGCCTTCGCCTCTTTCTCACCCATTTTGAAGCTATCCGTACGGATACACGAACGCACCTTCACCTCACAATTACCCAACGACACTCTCGAGCTCGATTGCAGTCCAGTTCAACAGACACCGAGCGAACCCTCCCGAGACCGTGTAGCTACGCACACTCGTCCCTCCTCGTCCTCTTCTCTGGCGGCTGTTGCACGGCGCAAAGACGAGCACCAGTCCCAGGGTGGTGCCGCCAGCCAGGCCTCCTCTAGCTTCGTCTTTGTACAACCATTCTCCTTGTCCCTCCACTGTCTCCAGAGAAGCTTGGCCGCGCTAGCTCGCCAGTAGTGCCGGCCATACGGTACGGATACTGCTTGGCCTGATACTGGTTACCGGTACTGGTTCTGGTACGGGTTCCATGTCGCATCTTTTGCTACCCAAAGAAAGAACCATATGTGTATTACGCCCGCCCACTCACCACACACCGGTTCTGCGACTCTCTTCGACTCCATTTACATCCAAATTCATCGTCCCCTTCGAGCTCAGTCACCACAGCTACACTAACTTAGCTAGCATCCTCTGTGACGCTACGCCAAAGTAACTAGTCCCCTCCGTCGTCTTCCTGCCTTCTGGCTATCCCTCAGTTGAAACCGTCTCTCCTAATCTGAATTAACTTCTCTTCTCCCATCCCACGTCCCCTACCGTTCGTACATCCTCACTTGCCCTCGTTTCCCTCCCAGCAGAGAGGCGCACTCCGCTTTATATCTTGGCATATTCTGCTCATTGAGAACATCGAACAAACAGCAATCGAACATACATCCATAGGCACATGGCAGCATTCTCTCTCGGTCAACGCCTCGGCCACACTCAATTTCCCTGCACGCTCTCAAGTTAGCACAACGTCATTCTTGCTGCTAGCACTCACTACCAAGTATCGGAAGTGGTCACTTGGGGGCCTTTTGTGGCCGCCACGGCGCCTCTTCGCCCAGTCCCTAGCGCCGTTGCGGATGTCTTCATAATAGCAGCTCAGCCCTCCTACAGCAAGCTACAGCTTCCGCTGCGCTCTCGTCACCACATCATACGCAGGGCAAATTTATCTGTCGACAGTCTTCGCTCAAACTCGAGGAAGGATGTTTGACCACTTTGCATTAGGAACTCACATCCGCTCAGGCGCGGACGGTCCTGGCGAGGAGCCATCTCTCTCACCGAAACAACGCCCACGAGAATTGCCAAACCCGACTGAAGGACTGCTGTCTCCCCCAAGGTCATCTCCAGCTGCCCTCTATACACCAGTGATCCCACCACAACCCATCGACAACCTTACCCACGAGCTCAGCAAACAAACACTTATTCCAGAGTTTCGACAACGAGATGTACTGGCGACGTCGGCTAAAGTATCATCGTCAATAGTCACCGATTTATCAATGGCCGATCTAGAGGTGGACGACAACTGCGATATGAACCTTGCTACGGATGATATCAAAGAACACCAGCCAGTGGCCGATTGGAAAAGAGCCCGGCGTCAGCGTTACAGCCGCTTTGTCAACAATCCAACCAATGCCCGCGCGATAGAAGCACGTGTCAAGGACATGATCTCGGAAGAGTTGCAGTGCAACGTTCATCCACCTGCAGCAATGCCGTCTGTACCAGCAGCTGTCCCTGTATATCCTCACCTTCCCAACATTGATGCCGACGGTTATCCCGAGATCGACCCAGCCTTGACTCAGCCGGAAGTGGATGAGGGCTTTTGCGACCAAGACGAGCAATACGCCCTCATGCAGAGAGAATTAGCTGCCGACAGAGAAAGGCTGTTGGGCAAGTCGGGAGGCATGCGAAGTTATGGGTCTTTGCGATTCAGAGGATCGGCAGAGACGGCGCTTCGTTGTCATAACGTTGTCAGACAACGACCAAGAATGCGACGAAGAAAAGGACCAGGACCAACGCACAATCCTCGACCAACCTGAATCGCCCTGACAGTTTCGGAGTCCAATTCGCATAATTCGGGCCTGTCTTATTATTTCAGTTTTATTAAATGAGCGTCTGAGGAACATTTCAGCGATATACCCACGGGAAAAGGATCAAGATTTGGCTAGGGGCACGGCGTTTATTTGAATGGATTTCAACTACAATACGGCGTGGAAGTTCAATTGGGGATCATTGTCCTCGGGATTCAGAGGGAAACGGCGTTTTGATTGTGTTGGGCAAGATAGGGGGGTTTTGCCTTTATTTTTCCTCATCATGCGATGAGCCACTCGATGGTCGGATATCGGATATCCGTTGCTTCCACATTGTTGTTCGGAGTCGCAGGCACTTTTCGGCTTGCAGCAACCTTGACGGGCTGTGGTCATCGCCGAGTTATCAGTTGCGCAAGCTCCGATTGCTGGGCTGGGTGTCTGTCTGCCCATAACCTTCGAAGATGCAGAGGTGGCGTCAATACTTACAGCCTTTGTCAGGCAGTGCCTTCGCCCCTCTTCATCATTCTCCAGGTCGCTAATGAGAGATCACTATCGGAGAGGGCTAGAAGACTTTCGAATTCAACAAACTATATCTCCCACCTTGGGATGTGTCGCATTCTTATCTGCTGACGTTTTCACTTTGAATCGCAGTGATGAATAAGGCTGAGATGATACAGGACTGCGATGTTTTCAGTATTACCGTTCTTACGGGTGGTTGGGAAACGTGTGCAACAGACAACGGCTGCCCTGCGAGCAAGCTGTCCCGATAGATTGGGAAGCTATTGTGGTCAAAGTAGGATTTCAAGGGAGTCTCCATTCATGCATGCGGCACAATGCACCACGACCCTCGTTTAAAATCAGTGACGTGCACTGTCACTGCCCCCCCCCCCCCCGTCTCAAGTTCATCAGATCTTTTCCTACCCCTCTTCAGATAAGTAACATAAAGGGGGAGCCGTATGAACATTCCAGATGTCTTCCGGCTAACACGCTCTCCACCTGCGCAAGTGCGTATGGTATGATCCCACAGCTAGAGGCGTTGTAAGCCAAGGAACTCGTAGCTAATGAAGGTGAGATACCCCAATTAGACTTTCAGGTGGTCAGGCGAGCGTCGACGAGGAGACGTGCAGTAGTTCCATCTGGGGCAGCATCTCACCAATGACAGACACCTTTCCCTTGATAGCTATGGATAGCCTAGTTCACGAAGAGCTGGCACAGCATAGCCGCGGACCGTGAAAGCTACTCGGAGCTGGAGCATGAGCCTGGATCGGTCGCCGGTCCGGCCGTCGAAGGCGTGATTCCTTGCAGTTTGGCACCGCCATCGCTCTTAGCCGACAACGCCCCTACTTTACTTCTTGAAATATCTCCGTATCCTTGTTTGTCATCACATCATCCTCATCCCAGCATATCATGATCCAATTCCAAAAGGGGCCACAGGGTACACCCTCCCAGTGGAGAGTATCGAGGCTTGGATAAGCAGGAGGAAGCCCCCATCTCGATGTCGTCTTCTGCTTGGAAGGAAGTTGTATATCGGGGTCCGCGATGACAATCTTGCTTTCGCCAGTGGCGTTTAAAGCAGACGAAATCCCGTATCAAGCCGCCCCAGAAATACTCAAGATATCAATCAAGGTTGCAGTCAGCTTAGTACTTTGAGGTTTTGAAGCAAGCAGAAAACTTCCAATGGATCAGACATGTGCCTGCGGTCTTGCTAATTACACCTTGTCTTTGTTATCGATGCTAGCCCTGGTAGAGAGGGCGAGGAAATGGATTGTTTCTTCCCGAGGGGGGTTTCTTTTCTTGTCAACGACGTTGCCTTGGAAGAAAACGATGATCGAGTTTTCTTTCATGTCGCTGTCTCTTTGCCCTACCAACCCCAGTTCTTACAGGTACAGAGGGGGAGGTGGCCGTGCTGACTGGAATGCGGATATGCTGCTGGGTCACTAGACGACGTGGGTTGCATTCCTTTGGCCATTCAGGAACAGATGGCATCCCTCGCTGAAAGCACGGTGATCTCTGCGGTCCCCAATTCCAATGGTGCTCGTCTCCGTGCTGCATCCATATCTCTTGCAATAGTTGCTGTGGCAGGATCAGAGACATGAGCTGGACGGTATTTGTTGACTCTCGTTTCCTCCACCCTGTGTGGGCTTGCAACCATCGACGGTTTTCATTTCCGTACAAGAGTCCCATTCTTCGATGGTTATACCCCAGTTCCTCTATCATCTTTCTCTCACTCTTTCTTACACTCTTTTTTCACTTTCCGCAAACGAACATTTGTAACATTCTCTCTCTCTCTCTCCTTTGCTACGGCCTTTCTCCTACCATCCACCGTTTTGCATCATAATCCACGCAACAGATCTGATCCTCATTGCTGTCTCCAGTCCCCCGCTTCTGTTCCTGATCCTCGCCTTGGCTCTGGATCGTTTGCGGAACTGAAGTCTAGTACGGAGACAGAGGCAGAGACACCCGCACAAGAGAGCATGACAGTGGCCGTCTCGCATTGGACGAGGAGCCCCGGCACGAGTGTCAGTCTCAGCTCGCACCCGATAGACTACGACGACATGGCCTACTCGGAAGTCCAATTCTCAGTAGATTCAATGGATGAGGACAAAGACGGTAGCGGGGGCCAGTCTCACCTGCCCTGGGGGGGAGAGCCAGAGGGAGCTGGCGGGGGAGGATCGGGCTCGGGTGCGGCCCACAGCGACAGCCTCTTCTTCGAGGACTTCGTCGACCTGGAGAGGCTTTCTTCGACGACCACCGGGGGTGACGAGCTCCCTCCCTCTGCTGCCATGCCCGACTCGTTCTTCTACAACATGCCACTCCCCGCCCATGGGTCCACGTCGACGACAAGCGTATCGGACGATCTGGACGACATACTAAGTTGCCACACACATCCGCTCATGGAAACTAGGACTAGCGCCGCAGCAGGTCCCGCTGCCACATTAGTGCCATCATCAGCAGCCGCTAGAGGAGGGGCGGCGACTTCAGACGCGGTGGTACCGTCTGCTGTGGGCGTTCCGGGTCTCCAGTCTTCATGGACGATCGACCGTGAAGAAGAACAAAGGAAGGCTTCGACCTATCCGGACACAGCTCACGCTGGCGGGGCCGAGTCGATCTCTGACTCTGAGCTCCTGCGCCTGGAAGGCATATCGTTGAAAGCGTCGCCATCTCGCGCTCCATCTGTCGTCGTTTCCCATCCTCCTACTCCTCTTCTTCAAGCTTCGTCCGCTACCAGCAGCAACAGCAACCTACACCTTGCCGGCAACAGCAATCAGACCAATACTAGCAGCAACAGTCACACCAACGGTGGTCGTAAGCCGAGCAACTTCTTCAAGGTTGTCGCATCGAAACTGCAGCAGAAAGCTGCCTCTGTCCGCCATAAACAACCAACCATGTCTACCGTCACCATCGATAGCAGGGGTACCCTCTCCCCCAACGCCTCACCTCGCAAGTTCAAGCTCCGCCCCGAGCATCTCCAGAACCTCGGCGGCCCTCACCCCGCAAGACTTCCCCTGTCCCCTCCCAACAGTGCCACTATTCCCCAGGACCTGCCTTCCGCATCATCAGCTGGAGGCAACCCCATGTCCTTTGGCTGTGGCTTCGTCGAAGACCCCTTCTTCGATGCTGGCGTGGCCGTCAATCACGTCCCCGTATTCCGTCGCAGCGATCCGACCACGCCACTGGACACTCCCGTTCTGGATGACAAGGGCGGCATGTTCTATCACCACCAGCAGATGAGCTCCGGTAACGTCGCCAATACCAGCAAGGCTTCCTGGCCAATGGCCACAACAACTCCCCAGACCGACTCCCATGTCGCTTGGTCCAATGCCTATGCCACCACGGATGGCATCGACGACCAGTGGTGGGGTGGAAACAACATGGACTTGACATCCAACTCACAATATCAAGCACAGAACGCTCGCAATGCCACCTTCAACCTCGCCATGCACACACAACACAGTGAACTGCCTTACGAATACAACAACATTGCCGCCGCCGGAAACGAAATGTCAGGACTTATGATTCACATGCCTCAACCCCGTACCACATCGTCACCCATCGTCCACTACCAACCCCAACAGCCACTTCACCACCAACAACACCCTCAACAGATGACGGAACGCCGGCCCCGCATGCCCCGTGCTCCCTCGGCCGGCGCCCGGCACATGTGCCTTTCAACGCCGATGCGCAAGACCCGCAACCCGAGCCGCACACGTCAAGCCAGCCGCGACTCCTCAACGTCGCCCACGCCTACGAACCGCTCCCGTCACAGCAGCGGCGGCTCGTTGTCCAGTATTGGTGCTGGTGGTGCCGCCCTCAGCGCCAGCGTAAAGAAGCGCCGGTCCTGGTCTCGCCGCGAAAGCATGCGCACTCCATCCATCGGCAACTTGGGCGGTGCATCTGAGGGCGTCGGCTTCGTCAACTTTACGCCCAGCGATAAGAACGTCCTCATGACCGGTGTGGCGCCCAGTGGAAGTTCCAAGACTAAGGCCCGTCGGGAGAAGGAGGCGATGGAAAAGCGACGGAGACTGAGCGAAGCAGCTATCAAGGCCGTCAAGGCCGCAGGCGGCGATGTGGACAAATTGGTCGAGGAAGGGTTCGTCTTCTAAGCAAAGCATTCTTCTTCTTTCCGATGTACGGCAGGTATACGCTTGGGCAGCGCTTGGGAGTTATTTTGGGTCAGGGCATGCTTAGGCTCTAAGGGATATGAGGCGTTTTCACAGGATCATCAATGTAGGCGATTGATCCTCGAGTTTTCCTTTTCTGGATGGGTTTTGCTTCTTTCTCGCCTCTTTCATTTTTTTTTTGTCATTTACATAACGGCATGGGGAGCGCGAGCTCCGACTGACGCCTTACCGGCTTATCCACGATAGCCGCTTTACTTTCCTACCATCACCAACAAGTACTTACTAGTTAATCTCCTTTTCCTTAAGTTGGATCAACCCAAAATCACAGGCTGGAACCCAGGGTATGAGATATGGAGGGATAGGTTATCTAAGCAAAACAGATGAAATACCAAAATAACACTCTTCAAACAAATTGCCAGTTCCCCTTTGAGCGTGATATCATGTTTCCGACTTTCCCATGGTTCAACTTTCCCATCAACAATCTCTACATCACTTGTCCTAGACGAATTGTATCGCACGAGTCACTCAACAGTGAAAGAACAACAACAAACAACAACATTATCTAATCAGTCAGCAAATACCAGCCAGTCATTCATCTGTACGGCGGTGCCTTGCGGTCGCTCAATGAGTGACGCCTCGCGCAGCCTCTCGCTAGATCCCAGTCCGCAGGGTCGGGGCAGCCTCTCGTGGTGAACTACGGTACCGCTACGTGAGGCCGTCTCTCGACCAGCCGTTAGCCGATCTACGTTGGGCAGAGCGCCGTCCAGGCCAGGCCGCCTGAGCAGGAGGGGGTGAGGTGGTGTTCCTCCGTCCCTCTCTTCCTTCCCCTGGGCCGAACCTCGTCACGTCTGTGCGATCCCGCATCATCCGTGCCATCCCATGACAGGCGGGCACGGCGGGCGTTATGGAGAAAAAGCAGGTACCCCTTCCCCCATTCGGGAGCCAACACAGACCAGCTTCCGACGATGATGATGGGGAGGAGGAGGAGGGGCCCAGAAGTGCGCCTGACCAGAACATCGCGAAAGGTCCAGGCCCAGAGAGACTTGGACGGTGACTTCCTACAGATAACGAAGACTACCTACCTGCCTTAGCTAGGAAGGGCGAGGGCAATGACAACCCAATGTGAGTGGAGCAAGGGGGTGTGGGCTGGCCTGTGTTGGTCTCCCCGTTCGTTCCTTTAAAGGTCCAAATCGCCGCAAACAGATAGCTCTTTTGCCCTCTTTCTCGTCCTCTTATCCCATCAAGACTTGGCTCTCGCATCCACCTCAGCCAGACGCTCCCCGGATTCTCCGCTAAGCCTTACCTCGCACTCCTCGGTCTCCTCTATCATCCACACACCCTCACTCCTGGAGACGCCTCCCTTGCTATCCTAGCAGAACGTCGGGATTTGAACTTGGGATCTCGGCGATATCCACCCCCTCCTCTAACGGATGGTCAAGAGGGAACGGCGTCTCCATGCCGCCTCACTTTCTCGCCCAAAAAAACAAGAAATATCCACAATCTGACATGACAGTCTGACGGTTTGCCTGCCCGCGCGCCTCTGAACCCGACTCTTGGAGACTAGTGCAAGATCCCCGTTGCAGAATCTCGCAGCTCACCATGCCATGCTACTGTCTACAGCTGTCTCTCTGCGACGCCAAACCCGAAATCGAAAGGTGCCAGGAGCATGACGGCAGCAGGGCGCAGTCTCGCCGTATTCATGTCTCAGCGCAAAGTTCACCGGCTGGGCTTTGAGCCTCTATATTCCGCTCCTCTCACAATCGCGATCTCGCTTGCTCGATCACATATTCGCAGAAGTTCCTCAAATCGGGCAAGTCTTGTTCCGTCAAGATCCCCACCATCTGCATCTCACACCCCCTCCGGAAACGTTGTCGCATCTTTGCATTCCACGGCCGTACGCCGCAGCCGCGCTGCGTCTCGACCCTGCAGACTCCCCTGGACCCCTTTCGCAACGTCCGTTGCCCGACTGAAAACAGGTACTCACTACATCGCAAGCGAAACAAGATCTCTCATCTTCGTACGATGTTGTCGATAGTCAACGTACCTGCATGGGTCTGGCCTTGTGTAGCCGCGACGAGGGACCACCAACGCATCTGCCCAGGCGCAGCCGCCCAGCAAGATGCTCCATCTTCAACCGGAAGCATCATCGGGACGAGCTCCGTCCCCTTGATACTACTCCCAACCGCCACAACAAGCGCAAGATCGCGAATCCTTTGCCATCGCGAGCCTTGTCTCACTCGCTTCATCCGAGAGATCGAGAACCTTGCCCGGGAGGCGCGCATCTCTACCCGCGGTGTCTTGAGTATCACGACACTGTCAAGTGAATGCGCCCCCGCCCAGACGACTGAGTAAGGGAGCGAGACACTGGGCTGACAGAATTTGATATTCCATGTCAAAGGAGCCGCGCAACACCGAAGCCTCTGACCCTGCATGGCGAGCCACGTTCTGTTGACGATGTCTTGGATCCTCGAATCACTTCAGGCAAAGACCTGCAAGTGAGTAGCATCTTGTCGCCTCGTAGGCAATATGCGCCGATGATATCGTCATTCATGTCCAAAGTGGCATTCTATGAGGTAAGGTAGGAACAGATGACCATCATTCTCCGCTTCAAGACCCTCTATTCTTTCGGCAAGCTTCAAGATCCGAAACGATCACCGTTGTTCGCGCTGTTCATGCCGATACTCTCGACTCTCCGCAGATGGTCAAACATGATCAGCATTCAACAATCATCATGCTTTCTCAACCGTCCATCGGCCATTGCATCGTGTTCGAAGCAGATTTTCTACACACGGAAAGAGAAAAGGCGTCTTACCTACAGCCTTGATTTGGTCAAGCGGCATCTTTCTCTCGTTATTTGGCCAATAACAATTTCTCCGGAGACGTCTCTGTCGTTGTCTCCCTGACTAGCTCATGGAGTTCTCCGTAGCCAACTCTAAAAGTCGTGCAGACCCATAGGAACCTTTTTGTCGCGTCCAAATCCGGACGAAAGCAGACCTTCTCGGTCGTCGTTTCTCGGTCAGTCCAGCTGTATGTCTTACCCCGGGCCCCATCCGACCGCTGCTCACTTACATCCTGCGACTAGGTTCCGATCTTCTGGGCAGGCAAAGTCTGGGGCCAGCCGCCAGCTCGATACCTACTACTTTGACCCATGGCAGCCTTGCTACGTTTGGCAGTTCTCCCGTGTACGCCCTCAGCCCCCGCCGTCATGACAGCTGCCGCCTCACAGACCGAGGACCTGACGAAGAGGCTAGTCTGTAGGTTACTCCGTGCACTATCCCCTTTCCTCACTTTCAGCCCGACTGTGGCGGCCGCCATCTCACACGAGCCACAGTTTATTCTTCTCTTCGCCTTTCGGGCTAATCGGTCAAGCCTCATGTTGCTTGAGCGAGCATGGCATCTCCAAGAGAATAGTCGCGGCGTAGCCGGAATCCAAGAAGACCGTTACCCTCCGATCAGATTGTCCGTGATATCCACGCATCTCGTACTTCAGGCTAGAGACCAAAGAGTCTTCGGGGCTCTGGGGCGTACAACGCGTCTGCTATCGCTAGCTCGCGCGTCTATCCGCCTTGTCCTGACATTGCAATCGACCAATAACGACGACGAGAAGTCCGAGGGCCCCCACGTCGCGCCTGGTGAACAGACACCAGACCTCATGGACGTTGGTGAACAACCCAGCAGACTGGTGATCGTATTAATCAAGCGGCCGCCAGGGGAAAAGACCTTCCAAATACCTTGAGCCACAGGAAAGCCGGCCAGATGCCCCGAAGCCCTCATGTTGACGCCTTCAGAGGAATCCCCACGATATCTCCAGCCACTTGACAGCGCATGCAGAAGGGACCAACTCTAGATCGAGTCGAAGACCTTCCCAGGTGATCATCATCCTCACCCTCATACCTTTGATGGCGCGACTTATGTGACATGTAAGACGACGACCCAATCTTGGCCTGACGACGCCTCGAGACCGTGGCATCGAGCAGCAAACTGCGCCGCCGACCAACCTTGCCGTCACTCTTGGAACTACCGAGACGCGCCACACGTTGCCAGGCACAACTGTCACCCCAACTACAGCCCAGCGGAAGCGAAAAGCCCATCCCCAGAAAACGCCAACGCAGGTGTACCGCACCTGCATGTGCCGCTCTCCGGCTCCTGGCCCACCTGCCTTAGCCCTGCATGTGAAGCCTCACGACGACCTCCACAGGTCGAGGCCGTGGTAAACCACCGCGCCACAAGCCTGAACTTGGTCAGCCGGGCCTGTTGTTTCCGAGAGGGTGCGGAGCTCGAGTAGCCGCAGCATGTCACGATGTTTCTTCCCACAGTCGGCCGCTCTACCCTCCGCCTCCGACTTGAGATGCCATACGCCCTCGTCTCCAGTAAACAAGCTTGGAGGCTTCGACTCCCAGGCGCCCTTTGACGGGCAATAAGGAGCTCTGTCCATCGTCCTAGGCCTACCTGGAGATGGCTTCTTCCCATCCACGCACCCCTCCCAGAGAAACCACTCCCCTCCTCGCTTGCCGTTTCCACATTGGAGATAGCTCGACTGGACCCCGTCCGCCATTCTTGTCCTCTGTCGCGGCTCTCGATAGCCAAGAGGCGTGATACGGGGCCAAGAGGACTGTTTCTTTCTCAACGTCGCGATGCCAAGATGCGTTGAAGGGGTCGGTTAGTCGGCTCATCTTGGTTTTGCACCACCAACCCTACCGACGGCCAAACCTGGACTTCGTCACCTCGAAATCCTTCCGACGTTACACAAACTTTGCAAAAACCGGTCTTCCGCTCCATCTCAACGTCCCATCCATCATCCGTTGGATCGCGCGTTTGTATTCACATGATCCCTTTCTCATCTCCCCTCTTCCAGCTGGTCAAGGGACCCGCCAGACGGGCTGACCGATCGACGACATCTGCCTCGTCCATCACAAATCGATGACCGTTATACAGACAAAGGAAAGGAAGTCGTCTCTTGGTCTCCGGATCCGTGTTAGCCTGGACGGTGAGCTCTGTTTTGCCTGTCTCACTGCACCCATAGAGTAACAATGGATGATAGGCAACATCCGTTACTTCGCTCCACCTTTTGCTGTGCCTTTTTCTCTTCTTGGGTCCCCCATCCTCTCATCCCCTCCACAACATCCCCCAGCGTAATTCTCATGCTTGCTGCTTTCCTCCATGTCGGCCTCTCTTTTCTCCACCACACCTAATCCACACCACCTTCACCGAGCCCACTCTCACCTCCCTCACCTTCCCACGCTTTCCCCCTCCGAGCCCGGGGGATGGGTGACTGGATCTCCTTCTCCTTCGGCCTCCCGCGGTACGGACGTATCGTCCAGGTCCCGTCAGTCCATCCATCCATCCATCCGTCCATCCATCCACCCTGCTCCGTCTACAAGGGGATCCAGAACGGCCGTCGGCCAAAGTTTATTTGCCGCGGGAAACAATTTCCCCTTCTCAGTCGACATCAAATCAAGACAAGCCTGAGTCGTCTTCCGCACCTGAAGCTCTCCCGCTGTCACCTCCTTTGACGGGCGGGCTAGACAAGACAGGTGGCCATCAACTAACGTCCGAAACTTTTCGTCCTCTCAACTGCCCATCTCCCGGCTGATCGGCCAGCCGGACCACCGCTGTAACGGCCGAGTCTTTTCCCTTCGCCTTTTTGCCCAACTCTCATGAAGAGACCGAAGAAGAGACCTTGATAGCCGGAGTTCTATCCGTCTCTCGATCTACGGTAACACAACAGCCGAGGGGAGGACAAGACCCTCAACAAAGACGTCGACGTATCGGCTTCCTCGCCGTCGGCCAATCGTGGTTCTTGCCCCCCCACCCCGACATATCATGGCCTGCTCAACAGTCAGTGACTTGTAAGTAAGGTTTTTCACCGCAACGAATTCGCCTCCAGTTGGCCGGAAGACTTGTATAACAAAGGGATTCATTAGCTATTTTGTGAGGGTTTTTTTGTCTGTTTCCTTATCATGGGTTCATCGTGTCCCTTGGAGAATCGAAAGCTTCCAAGCCAAGTGTGATCTTGGCACGGATGGATCGCTTTCCTCATTGCCCTAGAGCTGGCTCTTTTTCTGAACCCTTATCCCAGTTCCAAGCCGACCTGATCCCACTGCTGCTGTCCTCGCTGGCGAGGTATCCTTTCCCCGCCAGCAGCAACTTATTTACAAAGTCAAGAAAACCCAATACGGCGCAGCAATCCTCCCGATTAGCGTGCCCGATGACCCCATAAAGACAAATATCAACGCCGTGATCTCGGGACGCCGTCCTCAATGCCAGACACAAAGAGTTGTGTGGAACACAGAGATGAACGAAGGAAATAAAAGGAAGATACCATTCCGTCTATGCTGTGATGCATCGCGTCATAACTCAAGGTGGGGGCTCAAGTCTCCTCCCCACGCCTGTCTCGCACATCATTACTGAGTTGATTGGGTATTGGGTGTCTGTCAAAACCCTTCGTGTATCCGTGTATCCGAGAAGATGTGCCCAAAATGATTGGTTGACCAGAATGCCAATACACACACACACACACACACACAAAGACCGGCCAGATTGCCTGGCACTTTGTCCCCCCAAGACTGTGGTATCCCCCATCAAAACGGGCAAACATCATGATAAGTCATATCTAGTGCTCATATCCGGCACCACGCTGCCAAGGGCTGTGTAGTTGTTAGCTGCTGCAACACCAATAGGCTATTGTTTCTTTGGTTTCTTACCTAGCGTTGTTCTGGTTGCGGTACTGCGCAGGGCTGGCATTGTTCTGATTGCGGTACTGGTTGTGATTATTGGCACCAAGTGTTGATGCAGAGCCGTTGTAGGGGCTTGGTGTTCGAGTCGGCCCTTGTCCATAGGGGTTGCGGTTGTCTGCCGGGAAGAGAGGCACTGAAGGGTCCACTGGCGAGTGCGGTCCCTGGCCATGTTGTTGACCTCCAGGGCGCTGCATAGAGTGTTGAGAAGGCGCAGCTGACTGGGCAGTCGACGGCGGCAGGGCAACGCCAGAGGGATCCGCCCGGCGGCGCATGGACTCAGATGAGATGGAGTCATTGTCGTCATCGAGGTCGAGTCCCTTGTTGTAGTGGGCCTTGTCACCTCGGGCAGTCGCAGCGAGGGCATCCAACTCGGTGGTGGTGTTGAGCTGGGTCTGGGACTTCATGAACGAAGCTCGGTCATCGGCCATGAACTGGTAGCGCGCATCAGGGTTCTTGCGGAAGTAGATCAACGTGCTGCTGACAATAACAAGCAGCAGGAGAATCAGAGCGAAGGCCGCGTTGGCGATGAACAGAACCACACCGACGATGCCGTTTACCAGAGCTGGGGCACCGAACACGTCCGAGAAGATGAGCAAGAAAACGGCGTTGAGGAAGTTCATGACGCAGATGGCAATGTTGAACGAGTTGGTGCTCTTATCCATCCAAGGGCGCAAAACACTGGCAGCGATGAGCGCAGCAGCCTCAATAATGACAAAGGCAATGGCCTGAATGGTTCCGTTACGTTGGGCGAAGGCGACGAACATTCCCTTTACAACAGTGTAGCCGAGCGTAGGGACGATAAAGTAGTATGCCGAAGCGCGGAACTGAACGTAGAGGAAACCCCACTTGTTGAGGGCCTGCGGGTCCGAGAAGAGGATGTAGGCCGGGTTGCGGTGCATGGCCACGGAGCGACGCGCGATTCTGATAACCTTGAAGGAAGCCCATCCAAGGGTGAGGGCCATACCGCAGAAGAAGAAGACGGCGAGAACAACCTCGGCCGCGGAGTCGGCCTGGGTGAACTCCCAGAGGCAGAGAATCGTCATTTGGGGGAAGCCGATCAACGTCATGCGGAAAAGAATTCCCTTCAGGACGGTGAACCAGCCGTTGCGGAACTCGAGGAACTTCTCGCTCTTCATCCACTTCTGTCGGACAGCCAGCTCGCAGAATCCCTTGAAGGCGGCGACGCCAAGCACGGTGAAGATGACGAAGACACAGAAGAAGGACAGACCAGTCATGAAGAGGTTGGTCGACTCAATCTTGGCTCTGAAGGCAACTCGCTGGATTCCGAAGACAATGTAGCTGCCAGAGGAAAGCTGAATGTTAGCTCTCTTAGCGATGATGGAGGGAACGGAAGAGATGCCACGCTTGGCCATTCGGGCAGCAGAGAGGGCCCAATCCATGGAACGTTTCTCGACTTGGACGGAAGTGGTCGTCAGCGAGTTGAGAAGAGTCGAGGGAGTTCCACCAGTTGCCCGCTGGTACCAGGTGAATATATCCTGCATGAACTGGACGCGGATGATACCCATAGACCAAACGAAGTCCTGAGTCCATGACTGGACAATGGGAGGCAGGTGAACACCAGTGAGACCAACGATAGCCTGAGACTGGAAGTAGCCGAAAAGCGATAGCGTGTTGGCAGCAACGTGGGCGGCGGTGTTGGTGTGGCCGAGACCAGAAATAACGGCGGAAGAGATCAGTCCCAAGCCGGCGATGATGGCGGTAGCCCACTTGACACCAATCAAGTCAACCGTCTTTCCGTTGGAAATATCAGCCTCAACGCAAGCCACACTGGTGGAGGTATCGGTCAAGTTGACGAAGACACGAACAGTAGCGTCGAGATCGGGAATGTTGTAGGCAATACCGGGAATCTGGCCAACGGCATCCTCGCCGACAGGCAGGTTGAAGTTCATGGTGATCTTTCCGGCAGTCATGGGGCACAGACCAGCGAGGTTGATGCTGCAGGGATCAACAGTGCGCCTCAAGAACTCGTAACCGTAAGCCGAAATGGAGACATCAAAGACGATGCTGCCCTGAACAGAGGAGACGGCGACAATATTGATGGCGGCACTTCCATTACCGGGGGTGAAGACGACGTTGAACAGACTGGCTGTGAAGCTGGAATCATCCTGGCAGGTGTTGAGGGAGTTTGACTGGAGCAACTGCTCGGCAGCGAGGACTGGCGTCGTGAGGTAGGTGGCCAGGGTGCCGAGCAGAAGCAACGGCTTAGCGAATGACAACCTCATGGTGGGTGGTAAGGTCGTCGGGATCGTCTGGGTTAGAGTAAGATGTAATCCGCTCGACTGTGGTCCAAAGTCGTCGTTGACAGACGATGGGGCGCGGATAGTGCGGGGAGTTCGAAGCCGTCTAGGTCGAGAATATCATGGGGGTTGACGTCGTTCCAGACGGTATTGGCGACAGAAGACGGTTCGGTAGAAGCGAAGGGATTGATGTGGTCGTCGATGGAGCTCGTGGCTTCTGTAGTTATTTCGCAAAGGTTGGCTTTTTTTTCCGTGGCAGGGGAAAAGGTGCTAGCGAAGGTTATCTGCCGACGAATTGAGGATTTGGCGCGGTGGTTGTTCCTGTCAATCCTCCTATTCCGGCGAAGAAGACGAAGCGAGCGATGGAGAGAATGGAGGCGTGCGTCCCTCTCGAAGGCGGCGACAGAAGAAGCGAAGGGAATATTCGTGTCGTCGTCGGCGTGGTCGAATCAATCGGTAAGTCGCAAGGGTAGGTGTCGACCAGAGGGAAGGGTCGGTTTGAAGATGGGTGGGTTTGGTGGTTTTGTTGTTTGTTGCTAAAAGGAAATTGGGAAAGGAAGGGAGAGGGAAGGGAAGCAGATCGCCAAGCAGAGGGCTGGACGGGGAAGGAAGGAGTGATGAAAGGAGGCGTCGGGTGGTGGTTGCTGGATGGCGCTGCAGGTTGCGGTGGTGCTGGCAGGTGCTGGCTTGCTGGCTTGCTGGCTACGACCAGGAACCTTGGTTTCTTCCTTCAAAATCAAGACGGGTGGAAGGTCGGATTCAGGGAAAACCGGGCAACAAGGGCCAGAATACGGGGGTGGAAGGATGGTGGGTAGGCAAAGGGAGAGCGACGGCTGCGACAGGCGGACAGCAGGAATCCCGTGGATTGACTTGTGTCTGGTGTGTGGATGCGCCACTTTGTGGGTAGTAAAGGGGACAGGGGTAGGGGGGACCTTACGGGCTGTACGGAGTACGGGGTCGCGAATGGGTGTTGTCGGCCCAGGCTGTCGTAATTTCAATCTTGGAGCCGGGTGGTGCGTCGTCAAGGTGCGAGTGTGGATGTACCTTGGAGACACTGGATTTGGGCCCCCCTGTTTAAATGGTGGGAGGGAAGAACGAGGGAACTTGAAGGACTCGTGGGACTCCAGGAGACACGACCCAAGGTACCTCAGGTATTCGTACTCCATTAAGGTACTGCGTATCTTAGAGGGGGGGAGGATTGAAGGAGTGAAGCAGTGAAGCAGCGAACACGCGCGCCCAATGGGATGATGAAGAAGTACTGCCTGGTGAGTACGGCTTGGCGAGGCTGGAAGCAGCACAACCGGGGGACAGTAACTGTACTTCAGCTTACACCGGATCCCAACACGATCCCTAAGTATCACAGCTGTACCCTTGCTTCCAAAACTGGATTCAGCTCGTATTGATCTAACAGAGCTACATGTCTCTGGCGCGTAAAGCCATCAGGAACGGTCCAGACGAACACGCAGCCAGCGAGACACATGTATTCCTACGGATACTTCGTACACACAAAGTCAACTGAAATGTTGGCCCATGACTGTTGGAATCAGCCAAGCAACACCACTCCTCACCATCCCACACCACACCACAGGCTTGTTGTTGCCGCAGTGCCCATGTATCTTTTTTTTTGTCACGTACGAGCCAGGGCGAATTCCACACATGCCATGCCCAGGAATCAACACAACAATTCACGCAAACCAAACCTTTCAAGCATCAACTCTAAGGTCCGAGAATGGCAGATCAACATCATCCCTCAGCCATGATTGACGAAACAACACGTGTGGGCCAGAATCAACTTTTTCAACCCGTTACCCCGCTGCTACGCCAATCCATATTCTCTATAACCTGCCGCTACACCAACAGCATCAGCACCGACAACACAGACACGATCGTCGTTGGCATTGTCATCTACATCCTCGTCCAGCTTGGCGGACTCCCGCAATCATAGCGTCATGCGAACCTACAACCTTCCGCCATCCGAATATTCCACCTGCAGCTTCTGCATGGCCAAGCCTCAAGCCTCAAGTCTACCAAGGCCATTCATCCAAATCCCCGTCCCATCTTTCCTCCCGTATTCCATATACGTCTTCGACTCTAATTCTCTGTATCCATACCCCGTTCCCTACGGTAGTACGGATACAGGTTCTTCAGGTTCTCGATCCAGCCCCCAGACGCTGCCTGCAGCTGCAACTGCAGACACGAAGGCTGGCTACTAATAAACTCCCGTCGGCTTACATCGCCCCCGCCGCGCTACACCGTGTACGAACATACGCACAGTCATCGTCGCAACCCGTTCCAGTCCATGTCATCGTCATCAGCCTCCAGCCTCTCCTTTCTCATAATGACTGCTGTCAACGGACTAGCCTACACTGGAAACCTCAGATCACGCAATCCCGGGCCTCCGAAAATTCCCAAGACTCTCCAAGACGCTTTCCAATGCTTCCAAGACCCAAGCCTCCAAGACAAGAAACCCAAACGGGCCCAAGTAGCTGCCGCTGGCATGTTCCCTCGCCCGCTCTCATCTCAAGCACCTCCGCGACACGGGGTGTTTGGGTGCCGCCTAGCCTCATACATCAGACAAGACCTCGAGAAACAGTAACACGGCACCACGGCCAGAGGAAGAAGCGGCACGCACTAGACGGTAGATCAAGCCAAAGAAAAGGGCTAACCCACAGCTCATTTCAATTACTCTCTTTTTTCTCGTCGACTTCAGTCTCTGCAGTCTGCACTGCCACGATTAACTCTCTCCAAGAGGCACGCGTACGTACGCATTACTCCAGCAGACCATGCCACACCGGGGTATCTTGCCTGCTCACACCTGAAATGCCGGCTGCCGGGAGAGCGAGTGCGACCGACGCTTCAGTGGTGGCCGGTCACTGGTGTTTACCCAGCCTGATGCCCACTGAACAGGCTCGACGTCACAAATGCATGCCCCCGGCTTGCGTGGTTTCGTCCCAACGGGATAGAACCTGGCCGGGGTGGTTTCTGAGGAAAAGGGAACCACGAGCCTGAGACGTCTAAAAATGGCCGGGCCGCCCCAAGGCGGTTGGCTACCGTTGCGAGGCTGAACCATCCATTGATTAACGCGTGTGCTCTTGGAAAGTGTTTACACGAAAATTGACGAGAGTGCACAAGAGAAGGGCTTCGCAGAACGCTTAAGGATACTTGAGGCTGCCGTCTGCGGGCTTACACCCTGTAACATGTTATGCAGCACCATGACTTCCCTCACACTGACAGCTCACCGCGGCACACCGAGCCGAGCGACCTAGACCACTGCCCCGGCCCACGGTGGACTGATGGAGTCAGATGGGCGATGGACCAACAAGATTTCCAAGGCTAACGCTGATGATCGACGAGCGTCCAATGTTTTGGGCTGATGAACCGCTGGCCCGTTGTTACAGACTTTCGAGTGAGTGAATATCCCAACTTTGCTCAGTGACAATTCCAGTTGCAGGTCTGGGCATGAGAGGCTGTGTTCACCTCACCTTGCCTTTTTACCTTATGTTGCCTATGTAGGGCTTCCCGCGGACAAGAAGTCAATTGCGACGCCGCCTGAACCTTGTTCTCGCCCGCCTGGCTCCCTCCCTCGCACAGTCCTCGACTCCTGTCTCTCTCAGAGCCTGCCAGTCTTCTTCCTTGTTGGTCACTCCCGAGACGCGGATCCTCCGTGCATCGCCACGATTGAGATTTCTCGCCTCGAGCATGTTCCGGCTCGCTCTAGACGAGCGCACATCAAACAGCACTCAGAAACAACTCCTTCTCCCTTTGCTGCTCCCTTCTCCGCAAAGCCCACATTTTCAAATCTCGTCAGAGTGGTCAGCGTGCCAGCGGTGCCAGTATTCCAGCAACCCACCAGCAACGCGTGCTTCGGGGCCTGGTGTTAAGCTGCAAATCACAATCCCCTCCCAGTTTGGCGAAGACTCATCTCCAATCGTTTAGCCAAAATAAACATTGCTGGTGGGAACTGGGTACCCGACACAAATCCACACCCACTGTTCGCGGCATCGGCAGCAATGGGTGGACGAAGTTTCCCATAATCGCTCATCAATGATCAATTTCCAAAGCTGGGGCCCGCATGCCATCTGCAGCCTCTCCTTGCGTCGTTCAACATCGACTGCCATGTGTCTCGGAATCTTCGACTTGCGCTCTAGTCTCCCTTGAGGAATTTTCAATACTATGTTGTTCCTTGCAGCACATTTTAAAAATTCCTTCTGCTCTTCCCTCTCTCTCCCGATTTCAAGGCAATAAGTTCTGTCGGTCACAAGAGACGGAAAGAGAAAGAAAGAAAAAAAAAACATACTTCTTCCAATATTCCCACCTTGCAATTATATCCTCATTTATCGACAACCTTAATCTATGTCATGCTGCGCAAGGTACAGGGACTGAAGTACACGGGTATAGCACACCATTAGCACCCGCCCCGAGAACGAAAAGTCGCTCCTCTTCTCGTCAAAGCCGGTTCTGTCAATCCGCAGATAAATGACCCGACGCCTTAAAATAAATCGTCGAAGCCTTACCATATCTATTCCGGGGTTCGTCCATTTCCATAAAAGGGAACCCATAATGCCCGTGTATCCATCACATACATCTTGTATAGATGACTGCATTTTTGACAAGTGGAAAGAGGCGCGAAATCTTGCGCAGTATGTCTGCGGTGCAAGGAGCGCAAGTCATTTTTAGCATGAGCCGCCGCCAGTCTACTGAAGACAGGGAACGGACGTTGAGTGCCTAATTTCCCTGCAGTGTGATGTCAGCGTCGGACCGCGAACACCATTCTCAAGGGATGAATCGTACAAGCAGCAAGCAGAAATCCTCGGAACGCCGATGAGGATGCGGATCTTTGTAGCAAACAGTAAGTGATTTGACCGGCCCACCGAGTGAAGTAGTCAGAGGGCATTGTTGGTGCAGTTTCACTCAGTGTCAGCTTTTCTTCTACATCGAATATACCTACCATCTCCCGTTGACCTCGGGAAAAAACAAAGACTGGT